GTTTTTCCGCTTTTCCGCTTTTCCACTTTTCCACTTTTCCATTTCTGGTGCGGGCGTTTTCGCGCTAATCGGACGAGCCCGGGCGCTTTTCCACAGGACATTTCTGCCCCCCGAGCCAGTTCCCCCCCATCACTGCCTGTAAATTCCCTTTTGGCCGGTTGCCCTTGTATCCATGGCATCGCACCCCAGAATCCAGACCGCGAGGGCGCAGATATGTACGGATACGTTCTCCGCTCGTGGTGCACAGCACATGGAAGCGGCATCACCGGGACGGTTGCAACGAGCAGCATTCGGCTCGGCCCCAGCCTGTGCTCGCTTCTGTTGGGCAGGCTTTCCGGCTCGCGCGCCGCCGACCCTGAAGGGGAACTTCGACGACGACGACGACGACGACGACGACGACGACGACGGTGGCGGCGACGACGACGCCGACGTTGTGGAACCCTGGGGCTCGCTTGGGTTCGGCCCCAGCCCGGGCTCGCTTCTGTTTGGGCCGTCTGCCCTCGCGGATGCAGCCCCCCCCCCGCGCCGTGCCCGGGCGGCGCCGCCGGGCGGCGCGCGGCCGCGGCGCGGCCGCGCCCGCGGCGCTGGCGGGGTGCCTCTGGGGGCCAGCGCCCGCGCGGGCCAGCGCGCTGGAGCTGTCGCGGGGTCCCCGCCATCTCGGGTCGGGCGCGAGGGCGGCAGCGGGGGCAGCGGGCAGGGGCAACGCGAGGGGGGGGGGGGCCGGGCTCGGGGGAGGCCAAAGGTTCGTATAGGAAGGTATTCGGGCGTCCTCGCCCGAGCCCGGAAGTGTGTTCCGCCTCGGGATGCTCTCCAGCAGCTGCGCCTCGGGTCTGGGGTGCCTGGATCGTCCCGAACGGCCGGCGGAGACCCGAGTGATGACAACTTGGGCGCTGCGTAATGGGGGGGTCATAAATGGGGGGGCGGCGAGGGTGGTCCGAAAAGGTACCCAAACGGTACCTAAACGAGTCCCCTGGGGCTCTGGAGGGGCCCGAAAGGGGCACGAAAGGGGACCTTTTCTGACCCCCCCATTTGTGACCCCCCCATTAAGCCACGCCCAAACAACGAGGATCGTTAGGGGGACTTCGGCGCAGCCTTCTGTCCCCAGGGAAGGCTCCGTCGAGATCAGCTGCAGCCCTCGCTCTGTAGCTCTTCGTCCTCTTTTGTGGGGGTCCCGGAGGCTTCTCGTCGCCGCGGCCAGGTCCGCCCTGAGAAAGTGCGCCAGCGTGCGCCCCAACCAGAAAGTTGTTGCATTGTGGATGTCCAAGCTCTGAGGCGCAAGGTTTGTGGTACGTTTTTTTTTTTGATTTGCGCGCGGGCGATCGTCTGCCGAACACTCCTGCCCGTGGCGCCGAAACGACGAGCGAGGGGCCCGAAGGAGGGCCGAAAGAAGCGAGGGACGGACCAGGACCCGAACAGAGCCGAGCGAGGGACCGACCCGAGCACACAGGGGCAACGGTGCAGTATGCGAAGTGTACGGTTTGCGGTGCAAGCTGTATGTTGCAAGCTATGTGGTGTAACATAAGTGGTGTGATTCCCGATTCGAGGCTGACTGGTCCTGAAGAAGGTTTTTGTTGTTCGGAGTGGCGTTTTACGACAACTGCTGCATGCAGCTGGTTTCGGCCCAGCCGCCGGAGGCGTTTTTCCTCGATGCTTGAGGGCCTCCAGCGCCGGGAGGCGCCAGGGAGACCAGCTGCGCGAGCTGATTCGCGAGCCTTCCCTTGACTACCCCCCTGTCTTGGAGGAGGCAAATGGCCCACGCTTTCACCAGGGAGCCTCGCCGAAGCAGGGGCGATGGGAGCCCCTGGGTGCCTGCAGTGCCCTCCCTCGGAAGCTCCGCCCCTGCTGCGCCCAGCCGCCGCTCCCCCCCACAATTTGACGCCCTGACTGTTTTGTCCAACGCGTGGACCTCCGGAGGTCTCCACCCATTCCTTCCCCGGGACTGCGCTCCCATCCCGACCATACGCTCCCGAGGCCCGGACCCGAGGGCCCCATGGTGCCGAACGACACCGGCAAGAAGCCATCCGCCGTGCTCTCTCGCCTCCTCCTCCTCCTCCTCCTCCACCTCCTCCTCCTCCTCCTCCACCTCCTCTCTCTCTCTATCTCTCTCGCCTCCTCCTCCTCCTCCTCCTCCTCCTCCTCCTCCTCCTCCTCCTCCTCCTCCTCCTCCTCCTCGCGCCCTGGTTCCTCCCGGGTGCGCAGCCGCCCACTGTCGTCCGACCCGGCCCATCTGAGCACCGACGGGGAGTCCCTGCGCAGAGCCGGCGAGTGCCTGCGCGCGCGGCGGCGCGGTGGAGGGAGCCTCGGGGCGGACTGGGCGTCCGCGGGCGGCGTGCTGGTCGTGCTGGGCTCGTTGTCCACCACCACCACCATAAGTCGGAGGGGGAGGGGGTCCTCCTCCTCCTCCTCCTCCTCCTCCTCCTCCTCCTCATCATCCTCCACCTCCTTCCCCCCTCCATCTTACGGTGGTGGTGGTGGAAGACAGGCCCATCAGGTCGTGCTGCACGGGGCGCCGCCCGACCCTCCCGGCGGCGCCGTGAACGCCAGCGGCCTGGGCGGCCTCGGCGACGACTTCGTGGCGGCTGCGCACGAGGGAGGGGCGCCGGGGGGGGGGAGGGGGCCTTCGACTAATAAGGCCCACGGGGGGGGGGGGAGGGCGTCTCGGGAGACTGGCAGGGAGAGCCTCCTCGGAAGCAGGCCGGCTTCCTCAGAAGCCCTCGGGCCTTCCCGAGAAGGCCCCGGGGCCTTTCTGGTGAGGAGCCCGCCCGCCTCCTCAAGAGGCCGCCCCCCTCGCGCCACCGCCCTTCTGCGCGCCGCCAGACTTCGTGGTGGCGCCACGGCGGCTGTTCTGGACGAGCTCCTTCTGGGACGGCCTGAGGCGCGCCTGCGAGTTGGAGCGCGAGCGGGGCAGGAGGTACCTCTATCCTGCTGCCTGCGGCAGCCCCCGCGGAGTTATGACGGTCCAGTCTTCGTGGGATCTCTGAAGCGGGATTTCGCGTCTGATTTCAGAGGTGGTCTCGTCATTGTCCCGACGGCCCCGTCAGGCCAACCCGATCCCCCCCGAACCCGAGTCGTACGTCCCCCCGAAAGAGCGATATGGCATAAATTCGTTTCCCGCCAGGAAGTTTTTGCCCAGACGTCCGGCAGGCCGCCATAGGGGGTTTCCAGCCGCCCTGGGACAGGCGCCCCCGATGGCGGGACAGCTTATGTCATGCGGTGCTGCGTTCGCTACGTATTGGCCCACATCTGCTCACAACCATTTCTCGGACCCCTCGTGGGGTCCGTCCTGACTCGTTTTTCAAGGCGGGTCCAGCCGTAGTGGCGAGCAGCTTCCCGGAGTCCCGACAAGGAGGGAAGACCACAGGTATGGCCGTCGCTGTCTCGGCTGGCCTCTCTCCGCAGTAAGATGCGTGCTGGCCAGCTCTGCAGAACTCTCCCGAGCAGACTCGGCATCGGCAGAGCGGGCGTGCCGGGAGGCGTCCTGCCCGTGATGCATGCTGCGGGGCGCGGCCGTGGCGTTCGCACGCTGGGTGTGCGCCCTTTTTTAGTTTTCGGGGTCCTTCCGGGGGTCCGTTCGGGGTGCTTCGGCGGCGAGCGAGGGGGGGAAGGTGAGAAGGAGAATGCCCTGTCAGAAGGCGGCGGGGCTTCTCAGAAGCACTCGCGCCGCCGGAGAAGTGTTCAGTGTCTTCGGGGCAGGCTTGGGGAACGTCTCAGAAGGCTGGGGGACTTCCGAGCTGTCTGAGAAAGACGGCCCACCCCTTCTCGCTTCACCCCCCCCGGGCTCGCCGCCCAAGTCCCGAGTCGGGGGGTCCGTAGTGAAGAGGGCGTCATCCCAAGGTGGGGGCAGGGAAAGCACCAGCCTGGGTGCTTCCATTTCCTTCTTCTGGGGGTCAGGTGGAGCGATTTTCCTCTAACCCCACCGCTGCCCATACACGAGGCGTTCCAAAATGGGCAGTGTCCTCGAGGATCAAAGGAGTCGTCATCTCTTCCTCGGCGGAAGGTGGCGGAAGGAGGCGGAAGGTGGCGGAAGTCGGCGGAACCAAAACGAGGCCGCTTCCGCCGGCGGAACCCCGGTTTCCACCTTGACATCCCCGCGATTGAGGGGGCCCCTTGTCGGCGCCTCCTGCGCCGCCTCTGGCGCGTTGCGCGTGCCAGCGCAAGGCCAGGGGAGGGCAGGGCCGATCCAAGGAAGCCGCGCGGACCTCTTAACGTGTCTGTTTGTGCATATGTGTTCTCCTTCTGCCTGCCGAGCTCTCCTTCAGAGGCTTGGACGAGTCAGTGTGGGTTGTGGGGCCTGCTGGTCGGGTCGTGGGGCAGTGGTTGGGGGCACGCATGGGGCGGCCTTGAGACCGAGGCCCTCTTGGGTGGGTGTCCTTGTCCTTCTTGGGGGCCTCTTCTCGGTTCCCTCCGAGGCCGTCTTGGGGCGGGTTTCGATCATCTTACGTTCTCTTGCAGGCATCTTGTGGTCTCTGGAGCGTCGTTGTGCCGTCTTGGCTTGGTCTCGGGCCATCTTACAGCCGTCTCGGAGCAGTCTTGGACCACCTTGCAATCTTCCCAGGGCCGCGCAGAGCGGGGGGGAGCCACACGTGGAGGGGCGACTTTGGCAAGGGGCGCGCGAGTGAGGGGTGCCCAACCTGGAGAACTGCGGAGGTCTTACCAGGGCGCGAGGTAAACGGCGTTGAGGCGATTTCGTGGACCGTTTCCGTTTTGATGCAGTTTTGCGGCAAGGGCGGAGCAACGGCAGAACGAGCGAAACCGAAAACGCACAGATAGTGGGGAACAGGGCCTTGCTGCGCAGCGAAGATCAGGAGGGAAAGAAACACACAGACACAATTAATCGACGATCCCCAGGAAAATATGGGAAAATATGGGAAGTGGGGGGGAAGACAAAAACCCAGAAAATATGCGAAAATATGGGGAAGTTTTTTATTTGTGTGTATTTATTTGTGTGTCCCAGGGCCCCTTCAGAAGAGGCATCCCAACGCGCTCCTTTTCGTGCCGAGGGCACGGTGGCCGGACTGGGTCGTGGTGGACGTGCGGCGGAGGCTGCGGTGGGGCGCCCCGGCCCTGAGCGGGCCGTGGCGCCGCTGGCTGCTGCGGTGGCAGCCCGCGGTTGGCCTGCCCTGGGACGCGGCCTACGGCGCTCGGAGGAAAAAACAGCAAAGCTGCATGCACACGCATGTGCGTAACTACTCGGAGGCGCCACCTGTAACTTTACATACTCGGGCCGGGCGAAAGGGGGGGTTTGGGAAAGGGGGGGTTACGAAATCTGCTGCATGCAGCTGGTTTCGGCCTCGCCGAGGGGCCCATTCCTCGATACATGGCCGCCTCCGGCGCCGGGAGGCGCCGGGAAAATCAGCTACGTGAGCTGATTCTCAAACCCCCCCTTTGCTATCCCCCCCTTTCGCTCGACCCGAGTAACTGCTCGGAGGCGCCAACTGTAACTCTACATACGCATGGTCGGGACGGCCGGCACGGGTACGGAAAGGGTGGGTACCGCGCCCAACAGCAGTCCTGGTTCATTTTGAGCAGGATCCGCTGTCGGCGTCGCCGCGGAACGTGTCCATTTGAGGCAGAAGGCCGCCTGCCAAACAGCGGCCGCTGTTGATTCGGGACAATTTTTGCTGCTGGGCATTGTGCCCATTATTTCCGTACCCACTTCGGGCGCCCAAACATTGCAATTCTACACCAGCGTATTCATAAGCACGCTCGCGGATTTCCAAGCGCGGCACATGCAGTCAGGTTTCGGAGGCCCGCGCAGGTCTTCTGAGAGTTTCCGGAGCCCCGGGGCACCCGCGGGGGCGCCAAGATGCCCGCACCTCGCGCGCCGCGGTCTGTGCCAGAGCGGGTTGCCCATCTCCGAGGGGGGGGGGGCGCGAGGGCGCGATGGCGCGAGGATCATCGCCTATCGCGCATCGCGGGGGCGCGATGTGCGAAGTTAGAAACCTGGGTCCCCCCTCTTTGGCGCGCGGAGCGCAACAGTGGCGCTGCCAGGGGCGCCGCCTCGGGGCCCCAGCGCAGCGCCGATGCGAGGAATCCACGTGGACCCACCAAAGTTTAGGTTTATGTTTACGTCAAGGGGATGTCACGCAGTGCGCTTATGAGCAGTAGGTAAACAGACATCTGTGTTCACACCCGTGTATGTCCACCACTTGTGGTGCTTGTGTGTGTTGTCTCTTCCTCGAGGCGCGTGGCGGCGCGGCCGCGTGGCCTCCACCGCCGTCTGGGACGACGGGCTGGTGGCCTACCACGACGAGGCCCTCCTGGACCACGCTACAGGGGGGACGGATGGGGGGCTCAGTGGGTCACCACCCACCAAACCACCCCAACCCAACCCGAAGGCTCAGATTTACCCTCGATTTCCAGTTGGGGGGGGGGGGGGGGAAACATCGAAAAAACACGTGTGGAACCCTTACCCCCCCCAACCCGAAATTCGGGTCTTCGGGTTGGGTTGGGGTGGTCTGGTAGGCAGTCAGTGGGGGGGAGCCGATCGGCGCCCAAAACCGCCCACACCCGTCGCCGTTCGGAGGCCCGAAGCCGCCCCGCCCCCGCCCCCGGAAGCGCCGCGGACGCGTTCCGCAGACCAGGCCGTGGCCCGCCGACCTGCCGGCGACGCGTCGCCGAGTCTAGGAAGAGGAGGAGGAGGAGGAGGAGGAGGAGGAGGAGGAGGAGGAAGAGGAGGAGGAGGAGAAGGAGGAGGAGGTCCAGCGACGATCCAAGCATCCTTGCGGAGCGCCACACGTGCCCCCGGGCACCGCACGTTGAGGCGTGGCATCATGCTACGTGTTGTTTGGTGGGGGACCTCTCGCAGCAGAACGGTGCAGCGATCGCCGCGCCTCCCGAGGGTTGTTGTCTATTGCGAAGGCCTTACGGCCGGTGCCGCCGACCCTGAGAACGACGAAGATGAAAACGAGGGGGGGCAGGGGGAGGAGGCTGAGTGGGAGGTGGAGGAAGGGTGGGGGAGGTGGATGAGGGAGGAGGAGGGGGGGAGAAGGACGTGGAGGAGAAGCAAGAGGAGGACTGGGCCAGCCCTCCCTGGAGTCGGCGGCGCGCTCCAGGGGGAAGCGAGAGGGAGCAGGCCGCCTCAGAAGGCCGCGGGGCTTCTGAGAAGCCCTCGCGCCTCCTGATGGGTGCTCTTCCTGAGGGAAAGAAACACACACAGACACAATGAATCGTCGATCCCCCAGAACATATGGGAAAACATGGGAAGTGGGGGGGAAGACAAAAATAAAGAAAATATTTGGAAATATGGGGAATCCTGTTATTCGTGTGTATGTATTTGTGTGTCCCAGGACCCCTCCTAGTTCTGTGCCTTCGGAGAGCGCGCTGGGCCGCGCGGGCGCGCGGGCGCCTGCCCCCTTATCGCCCTTCCTTTCCCTCCTCTCGGCGTCGTCGTCGTCGTCGTCTCCTCGTCGTCGTCGTCTCGTGCCGTCGTCGTCCTCCTATCGCCCGCCGTCGTCGTCTCGGGCCGTCGTCTCCTCGTCCCGCCGCGGGGCTCCGCTGCGATGGCAGAAGACGAGCGTCTCCAGGGGAGGGCTCCGAGGGCTTCTCGGCAGGACCGAGGCCTGGCGAGCCTCCCGAGAAGGCCCGCCCCCTCCCACCACTTCCCCGCGGGGCTCGCCGCCGACTCCCTCTCCGACCTCGACGCCACGCGCTGTGTACGACGTGGACCCCCGGAGGTCTCGACCCCTCCCCCCCGACCGGTGCTCCATTGGAGCTCCTCTCTGGGTGGCCTGGGTGCCCGGCGAGGGGCCCCCAGAGGCCGAACAGGGGAGAGCTCGATTGCCCTCGGGGCTTTTGCCTACGACGCGACGGGGGTCCGGGTCGCGCTGCCCCGCAGGCAGGGCTCGAGCCAAGCGGTGATTCTGCGAGCTCGTGGGCCGTGTTCGTTCTGATGCCGTCTCGCAGCAAAGGCGGGGCGAAGACAGAACGAAGGACCACGAACACAGCGAGAACGCCAAACACCGTCTAGCCCGAGCCCTGCCCCTAGGCCCTGCCGCTCCTGGAGGCGGTGGCGGGGCGCGACGACCGCGCCGTGGACCCGTGCGGCTGGCTGCTGCGGTGGTGGCTGGCCGTCGTCGCGGGGGGCCTCTGGCCCGCGCACGTGGCGGCGGCCGCGCTCCTGCGCGGCAGGGGGGGCGGCCCGGAGCCCCCGGGGAGGTGCCAGGACCGAGGGAGCGGCAACGTTCGAGTGGGGGATCGATTTTGCAGGACTGACAGATCGATTCATCCCCGAATGGGCGTTCCCGTCGAGTCTGCAAAAAGACGTAGCGTGCTCTTCAGATCGTCGGAACATTCCAAGGCCTGCTCGTAGACTCGACGAAGAAATCAAGTGTGGGGTACATCAATTCTGTAGTCGATCCCCTACTCGACTTTGGGACTCAGGGGAGGAAGAGGTACCCATACCCCTACCATTCCCTCGTTTTCGCTGGTTGGGCTTCCTGGCAGGCCCTCGTCGCCACGGTGGTATTCGCCTCGATATTCTGGTCAGAACGCACCCTGGGAGAGGTCCGGGGACTAGCGGTATCGTTACTGCACATTGTCCGAAGGATTGCTTGGATGACCGTTGGGGATTGCTGTAGCGTTAAGGGGATGGGGGGCTTCGACGTGCATGCCGAGGTGGGTACTCTCGAAGATGGTTTCGTGCACTTGCCGTACTGAGCGCTTTTTGCGTTGCGCACCAATCCCCTTCGACGGGACAGCTTTGGTGAAGTGGCTTCCGTCCGTCCGTCCGTCCGAGGTGGGTTATGTCTGGCCGAATCTATCGCGGACACGCAAGACTCGAGTTCGCCAGAAATCATGTTTGCCGGCGCTTTTCAATGGGCGCGTCTTGAGCTTTGACGGAATTTCCGTGGGATGGTTGCAGCGGGAAGTCGGGTCGCCTTTCAATTCAAGGGGGGTCTCGCAATTTTCTTGATGGCCCCGCGTCTCCTCAAACCTAGCTTCTGCCAGGGCTGCAGGTGCTAAGCAGCTTACGGGGCCAACGGTCTGGGCTAGGTAGGCTCCGTTACCAACCCCTTGTTGATGCATGTGTACCAACTTTAAATCCTCGGTTAGCCCAGAAATCACCCGCCCTAGCATCGACGTAGAATCACTGTTCCCTTAGCAGCATTAGCGGTGATCCAAGTAGGCCTTCCAAATTCGGGCCGAGCAGATGGGGCCGGAGGATCGCGCCGCATCGGCTCGATGTAGAGGCCCATTGTCTCTATGCAGACATCGCCAGTGCATCGCCGACATTGCCGATGCATCGCCGATGCATCGGGGATACAGCGGGATCCCCCGACCCCATCTACTTGCACTCCTTCTTGGAGTCGTTTGATTGCCTTGGGATCCGGGCGTTGCATTTTGTCGCCCAGTTTCGGGTCCACAGGCCATCACAGATCGATCAGGCTCGAAGAATTCCGCAGAAAGATTGGGTCTATTGATTCAGTCGTGATTTTCGCAAGGCTAATTTTTTGTGATTTTTCAAGAGGAAGGCGACTTGAGACAACGACGGTTGGTCTTCGGGGGGGCCACTCGTCGCCACGGCTGGCCGCAGCTCGAACCCTTGGTGGATTTGGACCCCCGGAGGTGTCTGGGAACCGACTTTGAGCCACCGTTGTCTCAACCCGATTTTGAGCCACCGTTGTCTTGGAACCGATTTTGAGCCACCGTGTCTGGGAACCGATTTTGAGCCCGGATTCAGGCGCGTGGAGTAGCAACGGGTCCCGTTTCCACACCGCGCTCCGTCGCCAGGAGTTTGCTCTTTTTTAGATTCAGGAGACAGTTTCGTTTGCATGCACCTCCCGCCCCCCTCCACCGCCTTGCCAAGCAGCGCTGGGCCGAAAAGGCGCGCAGGTGTAGCCCACCTTGCGTGAAATCCAGATTCCCTGTCGATCCTCGCCGCGCCGTCCATGCAAGCAAACTTGCCGAAATCTGAAGACGAATTGCCACCGGCTGGGGCGGCAGCTGGCCTCACGCTTCGGGAGGGGGTCATATGTCTGCCCGCTCCGCGGATCCCGGCGCCTCGCGCGCCGGGTCCACGAATCCATGCTCCATGCCAGCCAGCATCGTCGACATTTCCTTGATTCCCAGGGGGCCACGGCGTCTCGACCCCACCGGCCCACCCTCCCAGGCGGGGAACAGGCCCCGGGAAGCCCGAAGGAGTCGGCACTGTATCCCCACTGAAGTGGGTCGGTTGGCCTGGGAGGCCAGGGCCACGACAGCGGGGAGAGGGATCGGTGAAACGATGCTTTCCATGTTAGCGTGTGCTCGACAGGAGCCGCCCGAGAGGGTCTTCAGGGTCTACCTGCTGGACATCTTCATGCGGGTCGCGGACCCGAATGTCCCGCTGGAGCGCACCGTTGGGGTCATCCCAGAGGGGACGCATATCGACATGCAGGCCTGCCTGCCCGCGCTCTCCCACTGTATTCAGCACTGGCTACTGGGCCCCGGCGCCATTCGCATGGCCGCGCCGCGGCGCAAGCGCGCCACCGCGTACACGCGGGGGCCCCTCTGCGAGATGAAGGACCGCGCGATCCGGGACCAGCTCTTGAGCTCGTCCAACCCGCTGCAGGACCAGCAGCACAGATCGGAGGAGGGCGGGTCGAGGCAGCGCCAGCTCAAAATCTGTCCCTGGAACTCCCCCCGAGGTCCAAACGCACCAGTTCCCCGAGCTAGGTCCAGCCGTGGCGACGAGGCCGCCCCCCCCCGAGGGCCAACTACCGTCGTCTCGACTTGCCCTGCTCTGAACGTCACCCTCTTTGTGGGCCACATGAACAGCGTCCTGTGGACGCGGTACTTGGACCAGAGGTCAGGGGCCCCCTTTGATCCGATTGATTCGAGTCGAGATCGATCTCTGACGGCCCGATCCGATTCGATTCCGATATTCCGTCGATCCGATACGGCCCGATGTTAGCATGGTGTTGTTGTGCATATTGGCTTGGCCGGTCCTTTTCAATTCTAACCTCTTGCCGGTGCAGACCGATCCGACGCACATTCCGATGCGATCCGATCTCCCGATTCGGTACCAACAGACGCTGGAGGTCGTCGATGGGCTCGCAGGGCCCGCTTGCGCTCCGCCCCCTGAAGTCCAGCGGGGACAGCGTGTCTGGCTTCCACCCGGTCCTGCAGGCCGCGTGGCGCCGCCCAGAGCGGGCGGTCCGCGAGGCCAGGGCCGCCTTCGCGGCCTGCATGCAGGCCAGGGGCAAACGACCAAGGCCCCTTCGCGCCGTAGCAAGCGTCGGAGGAGGAACGGGCATCGATAGCGCTACCCTTCCTCGCGGTCTGGCCTTTCTGGGGGGCCTTCTGGAAGGCCCGCGGCGTGCCGCGGCTGGAGTCGACTCTAAATCCCGGCCAGAGCGCGCTCTAGGAGAGGTCTGGACAGTAACGGTACCGGAATTTTGTTGACCCGCCTCGCGTCTGAAAATTCGCGGGGGATTTCGAATGAGACATACAGTCGGCCCAGATTGGTAGGTCGACCCTGCCAAATCAAGGGTACCCTTGTGTCCTGTGTCCCGCGACCCATGCTTCCTACATTCCTGTGGCAATGTGGCCCTCGGAAGGGTCTTGTGTCCTCTCGCGTGTCCTCTCCAATCAAGGCCGACTGCATCGGTATTGCTTTACCCCCCCTCGCGTCTGAAAATTCACGGCGGGTTTCGAATAAGACGTAGCACAAGCATGAACTGGTGGAGTTCCCGCCGGGTGGCTCGGAATGGCGTGGGGTCCTTCCTGGCGGGGCCGTTGGCGCCGCGGCCGGCGCGCTCCGCGCCCCCGGGGAGGGGGGGGGCCAGCGCAGATCCACAAGTCCGCGCGGAGCTCCGCAGGGTCCTGTATGGTAATGCAGATGGTTTGACCTCGTGAGGGCAGTGGAACGTTCCCCTCAAGCCTGGCATCGCTCGGACGTGTGCATGCTTCCTTCGGCGAGGACCATCGGGGAGCATCTTTGATTATTTTGCGAGAAAACCGCGCACGAAACCGATCAAAAACACAGGGAACGGACGTCCGAGCGATGGCCAGAGTTGTGGGAAAAAACAGGTGTGTGCTGTTTCTCCATGTTCGGCCTCTGCGGGCCCTCGCGGGGCCCCGGGACTGCAACAAAAACGATTCTCGGGATGGGCAGCTGGGCCTGGGGAGCGGGTCAAGACTTCTTGGGGGTCGACGCTGCGACAGCAAAATCACGACGTCGGGGGTCTGGGGCCGGGGGGGGGCTCGACCCTGCCAAATCAAGGGTGCCCACGTGCCCTGTGTCTCGCTACCCGTGCCTCCTGCATTCCTATGCGAATGCGGCTCTCGGAAGGGTCTCTTGCCCTCTCGCGTGTCCTGTCTAATGAAGTCCGACTGCGAGCGGGGTTGGGGGGGGGGCATCGACTCCCAGTCGCTCAGTCATCGCCAATCGGGGCCCGGTGTTCCCGCCAAGGAGCGCGCGGCTTCGCCATGGATCAGCCTGTCGCCGATCTGCAGTTGGCGGTGCATCGACGATTCCGGGTCAATGCTTCGCCTACTGAGCCAGTCCCCCCCTCTTCTCCCGACGTCCTGTTTTTGTTCACGATGTGGACCCCCAGAGGTCTCGACCCCTTCCACTGGACCAGTTTCTCATCCTGGCCGCGTTTGGCGGTCCTGGGGCCCAGCGAGGGCTCCCGGAGATCGATACGAATTCCAACAACAAGATCGACAATAGCAAACACAGATCCGTCGGGTGTTGGTCAACGGCGCGATAGGGTCGGGGAACGCTATCCCTCCGCTCGGCGCACCAGAGCCCGGCACCATCACCAAGGTCGTTTCCGAGAAAGAAAACGAGTCTGGAGGAGGAGGAGGAGGAGGAGGAGGAGGAGGAGGAGGAGGAGGAGGAGGGGGAGGAGGAGCAGGAGGAGCAGGAGGAGGAGGGGAAGGAGGAGGAGGAGGAGAAGGAGGAGGAGGTTGCATGCCTTCGTCCGTGTTTTCGCGCTCCTCTGCCCGCTGGCAACGGGCTGATTGAGGAAACGTGCAGCACGCTGCGGGCCCTCCCCCTCTTCCCTTCCAACGAGCCCCATGAGGCCAATGAACACCATGTTTGTGGAAGACGATCAATGGAGAGGAAGCATGTTGCCAAATCATTTCCAGATGTCTAAGCCATGTTTCAAGCATGTTAAAAAGTAAAAATGTCTGAAACATGTTTAGAACATGTTTTACACATCTTAAACACATGCTTAATTCAATTGTAAGATTGTTAGAGTGTCCACTGCCATGGCATCCACAACACTATGAGACCTCGGGCCCCTAAGGGCCCCACACTCGGCCTTCGTGCTCAATGGGGCCTGCGACGATCGGTGGCTCTGGCATGCCCTCAGGCTTTCGGGAACCCCGCTCACCCAACCAGCGTCGACAGAAAGTATTTCAAACTTCCGTTTGGCTTTTCGGCATCGGCATTGTCGGAAGGCCGACGCTAGCATGAGGACCCCCATTGGAACTGAGCTTTGGGAGGTGCGTAGTCCTGCGAGGACTCTGCAGGTGTGGCAGGGGCCTGTGGGCTGAGAATCTGGAGCGCTTGGCGTCGGTCGCACTGGGCCTGCCTCGGCCCTTGTCCATGAGTTCTTCGGGAAGGCTCCGGGATCCGGCGCTCGTCGCTGGTTGCTGGGCTCGCGTGGGCTTCGCTGGCGGGCCTTTGAAGTCTCTGAAGCGATGCGTACCTTTCCTCTCCCAACTTGTCTCCCCTGCGGTTCGGCGAACCAGGACGGGCTCGATCTGGCTTGAAGCCCCGATCCAGGGGCAATAGAGCAGCTACTTTCTTGGTGCTCGTCTCGGCTTTCTGCCTTGCCATCCGCCAGGGGGTTGCGAAAGGTGTTTTTTGGCCCAGGGTGCCTCCAGCTTTCGCTCCATTTTCGAGCCCCTGGGGCCCTCTGGGCCTCGTGAGGGGTCCTCCGGAGGCCGTGGGGGCCTCCCTGGAGATCCTGGGGTCACCCTGGGCCAGGGGCACTTCTATTCTAGCAACGCCCGCTCCGCAGGGGCGGCAGCGGGAAGGGCCCGCGGGCGCGGGGTACCTGCACGAGCGCCAGGTGCGCGTGCAGGCCGCGCCCGTGCGCGAGGGGCTGTTTCTGTACTGCGTGCTGGCGCCTGGCAGGCTGGAGCCGGACGCCAGCCGGCCTGAAATCGGGGCGATCGAAGTGGGTGCGGGAACAAAAGATGGGTACAGGCCGACAGTAGTTCCTTGCCATGTTCAGCAGGACTCGCTGCGGGCGTCGCCGCGGACACTGTCCCTTTGAGGCAGAAGGCCTCCTGCCCGACAGCGGCAGCTGTCGACTGGGGACGGTACGTGTTGCTTACCCCTACCTTTCCACGATTTCTGAGGGGGAGGGGGGGGGCTCACTTCGGTCGGGAGCTTTCGAGCGAAGTGAACCCCACCCTTCCCTCAGAAGTCGTGGGGTGTAGGGGTAGGGTTCGCATGCGACCCCCTAGCGTTGGGCATCGTAGCCATCTCTCCGCACCCACGTCGGGCGTCCAAAAGGAGGCACACCCCCAGCCCTCGGGAGGGGCAGAGGAGCATCCGGGGGCACCGAGCCTGCGGGCAGGGGCGCTCTGTCCGTGCCCCCCGCGCCGCGGGGTCTTGGGCTCCCCGCCCCGGCAGTCCGCAGCGTAGCGGGATAAGCGCATGGCCCCTGGAGAGGCCAGGGTTCATGCATTCGAGTCGGGGGGATATCATGGCGTTCACTAAGCGGCCCTGGGCGTTTACCAAACAGCCCTGCCCTGTTCGATTCCTTCCCTGGGTGCGTTTACCAAACGGCTTCGCGTGTCGGGGTGGTTATTCTCGACTCGGGGTGGATTTTCTCACCTTTGTCCACGTCCACTGCGCCTCGGTTTTTTGGCGTTGCTCCCGCCTCCGCTGGGAGCCCGTCAGCGCGTTGGTGAGGGTTCGGGCTGCGCGCGGACGGCCCCCGCAGGTGGTCCGGCGGGCCTCGACAGGCTTCCCGAGCAGCCCCGGGGAGGTTCAGCACTCAGGAGGGGGAACAAAAACACACAGACACAATACATCGTCGATTCTCCAGAAATTATGTGGGAAAATATGAGAAGTGGGGGGGAAGACAAAAGCCCAGAACATATACGAAAATTAGGGAATCCTGTGTGTCCCAGGGTTCCTTTCAACACCCTGGCGCCGCCTCCAGGGGGGGGGGGGGCGTCCGTGCGCAAAACGAAGCCTCTCCACAGCGACACGCTGCCGTTGGGGGCCCGTCAGCGCGTCGCTCCCTTCTGCTTTTGTCAGCACGCTGGCGGGTTCCCCAAGTCGGCATGTCGTTGATATAATGGTTTTGCCCGCGTGTCCCCTGGAGACTGTTTTTTTCAGGGTCGGGCGATAACCCAGGTTATCGGGCTTGCCCCCCCCTCCCCCCCCCGGGATAACCTAACCTTGCCGGTTGTGCAGGTCCGCGGGAGGGGGGGCGCGGACATATGCAGGGTTGCCCACAGCGCGAGGGTTAGGTTATCGGCCTGCCCCCTCCTCCCCCCCCCAGGATAACCCTGGTTATTGCCGATTCAAAAAAACAAACGGTCTCCTGCGCCGTCGGTTTCCACGAGGCGCCCTTGGCCCAGTGTGCCTCCGGCTTTCTGCGCCCGTTCTGCCCCCCGTCTTCTGGGCCCTCGGGACCTCGTAGAGGGGGTGCACTGGAGGCCGTTGGGGCAGCCCCTGGGGCCCTCGGGCTCCGTGCGGGATCCTCGTGGGGGTCCCCGTGGGCCTCCAAGGAGTCCTGGGGGCACCTCTGGCCAGGGAGCGCTTGCCACACCTGGCCGAGACGGGTTTCGCGCCCTCCCGGTGCCAGTGTCAAGCATTCTTCCTGGCTTCTGTCCCAGACCCCTGATCGGAAACTGGAACATACACCTTGGGCGATGCTTCAGAAAACTCAAGTTTTCGGCCAAAGTCTCGATTATTCTTAACTTTTCTATGTAAATCCCAAGATTTAGATAGAAGTTCTTGGTTTTATTCAATTTCTGAGACTATGAATTTCTTAACCCATGATTTCTTAAGCATTTCGCAGGGTGTATGCATTGCCAGTGACGACGTCGGGGTGGTGTGGTGTATAGCCCGTCTTCCTGGGGTGTATACACCGGCATCCCGTCTACACCGGGATCCAGGGCTGGAGAAAGCGTCGGTGTATAGAGTTCGGCTCTCTACCTGACGTAGCTTTTCTCTCCCGTCGTGTTTTTTTGTCTGTGTCACGAAGCGAGGGGTTCTGTGGAGGGCATGCTCCTGAGGTTAGCATTGGCTGATAGGCCCCTTCGCACCTTGGGGGCGGGGCTGGGCTCGGGGCCCGTCCCAGGACTCCCCCTGGCTGGACCTGTGGCGGCGCGACGCCCGGGTGCACCTGCTGCTCGTGACCTGGAAGCGGCCCCTGGACGCGCATCGGGACTGGGAGCTTCTCACTGACAGGAGTTGGATCGGGGATTTGCAGAGGGGGGCTATCCTTGTGGAGGACGGTCAACGGAGAGGAAGCATGTTGCCAAATAACTTCCTGATGTCTAAAACATGTGTCAAACATGTACGAGAACATGTTCAAAAACATTGATAAAACATGTCTAGAACATTTTCCGACAGTTTAAACTCAATGATAGGATTGTTAGGGTGTCCATTGTCGTGGCATCCGCAAGTTTATCCCAAGGTGGTGGTAGGGAACAAAACCCAGCTGGATGGTCAGAGTTCCCCTTGCCTGGGGCTAGTCAAGGCGGTTTTCTCCCCACCGCACCTCTGCCCCTACCCCACTTCTGCGCCCCCCTGATCGCAGAAGAAACGCCAGCATGCACAGCCTCTCGTAGCTCCACGCGGATTTTTTGGATCGGCGCTGGCCCCCCGTATCCTCGGGCGGCGCCTGAGGCTCCGGCCATGGGGGCCCAGCGCAGATCCGAGAAATCCGCGCGGACCTCCATGAGTTTGTTCGAGGGCGTCCAATCCGGGGGTTCGCAAGTTTATGTTTATGCAGTGTGTTGTTATGCTCATATCAACAGCTTGTCGCACCTGTTCTTGCCTCCACCGAGGGACGATTATCCGAATGTCGGTGATGGTCGTATTATTCGGGTTTCACCTTGTTAGTTGATGCATTTGCTAATGGGATTCCTGACGGGTGGACACCGTGGGGGGCTGGAATGCTTTGCATTGTAAACTTTCACGGCTTGAACGCACTCGTCGTGTTGGCATGAGTGGTTGCAGCACGTTTCATCACAATACATTAAAATTGGAACCCACACCGTGGGCGTCTGGAACGTTTACCCCCGTAAACAGTCAGGGCTGGATCGCTCTCGCTTTGACGGCATGCGCAGCTGGAGTATTCCCCGTCTTAAACTTGGAAGGTCGGAACCTCACGTATACATGGGGCAGGGGGCAAGTTGTAAAGAAGTGCGTCAAGTTGCTGGCTTCGAGAGTGAAGAAATGGCAAAAACGACGGCTAGGAGTGACGAACATGTGGACAACGCTAGAGGAACACAGGAACAACTGACCCGAGCAGAGAAACTTCAGGAATATTCGGAACCATGGGCAGCGCGGATCAAACACAGCACGAGAGAGGTGGATGAGTACACTCAATCATTTCACATTGGCGATGCGATCGCACAAAAGCGTCAAAGGAAGCGGCGATGATTCACACAAGTTGCGTGCAAGGTGCCCGGTGAGTGGATGCGCCTGGCTGTATCTTGGGATCCGTGTCACGCGAAAAGACGCCTTCACCGACCAACGCGTCGCTGGATTGACGACATGTTCCTTATCTTTTCCAAAAGAGAAGCGTTGACCCCAGAAGAGCAAAGCTTTTTTGCAAACACCTGTGAGGCGCGACGTGCTGTGTTCTTGCTATTGAGGTGCGCCACACTGGTGGAGGACGATCAATTGGAGAGGAAGCATGTTGTCACATAATGTCCAGATGTCTAAACCATGTAAAAACATGGCTTGAACATTAAACAACCTGAAAACATGTTCAGAACCTTTCTCTTACAGGTTGAACAAATTGTACAGTCGATGATGGGACTGTCGGGGTGTCCACTGTCGTGGCATCCACAGCGCCATACGCGACGCAAGGGCACACTCGAAAGAAAGATCGAGTCAGGCGCTTCCACCTGCAGTGTGGGCGCTTCGGCCCCGACCCGCGGCACCTACACACAGTGCGCCATGCGCGTCGCAGTCGCAGCCGCACGTCGCCATGGGCGGCGTCGGGCTCGGGGGCGCGGCTCCTGGCATGGCTTCCGCGCCTCGTCCTCTAACGGCGTCGGTGCGCGCTCGTGCGCGTGCGGTTGCTAATGCGCGCACGGTGGGTCCGACGGTCCTGTCGTCGGTCGTGGGTCGGTCGGTGTGTCGTTCCGACGGTCCTCGTCGCGGACGCGCGGCGTCGTCGTCTCGGTCGGTCTGTCAGTCGGTGGTTCGGTCGGTCTGAGCGTAGGTCGTCGGTCGGTCGGCCGGTCGGTCGGTTGCCGTCGTCCGTCTTCGTCGTCGTTTCGGCCGGTCGGTCGTCGGTCCGTGAGTTTGTCGGTCTGTTGTCGTCGTTGGTCGTCATCGTCTCGGTCTGTCGGTCGGTCGTCGTCGTCGTCGTCCCCGTCGTCGATCGTCGGTCGATCGCTCTATCCGTCAGCCTGTCGGTCGTTTCGTTGTCGTCGATCCATCGGCTAGTCGGTTGTCGTCGGTTGCTGGCTGCTGGTTGCATCGTGCTTGTGTTGTTTTGTGGGAATCGGCGCTATGGTGCGCTCTGAAGTTGCGCCGTTGGAGCCTAGGAGGCCACGGATGCACCGAGGTTAAGAACATGACGTTGGCACCGAAACATGTCCGATCATATATGTTCATTACAATTCCAGGACCAACAAGAGTCCACTGACAGTAGGTGGCGAGAGATTACCACCAGCACCAACATCTCTGATCGTTGTCCCCTTGTGGAGGCAGCCGTTTGGTGTTACCGCGCATGTCCACACCTCCAAAGGAGGTTCTCGCACCTGTTCGTGCCCAATAGTACCGTCGGCGAGAGCAAGGTTCGGAGGAGGGTGCAGCTGAGACAACGGCGGTTCTCCCGTTGGCCCAGATCCGCTCAAAATCGGCCCCCGGACCCCTCCTGGAGTCCATCTCTGGCGACGAGAAGCCTCCAGGAAGCCCAGATAGAGAGCGAAAGACATCGAGGAGGGCCGCCGTGGTCTCGACGGGCCCTCCTCCGAGAGGTCTCCAGGTACGCCGCCGCCGTGGAGTGGCAGATCGCCCTCGGCTTCCGCTTCCACTACACGGCCTTCGTGGACTCGGACGTCTCGCTCCGCTTCTCCGCCCAGACGCTGGATGCAGAAGACCGGGCCGGGCGGAAGGGGGGGATGGGGAAATCGAGGAAGACCATTGCATAACCATAGCATTGGAGGCGGCCAGTAAAGGGGTGATGACTGGGGGGGGGAGATGCTCACGAGGGAGCCCATGATGTCTTCCAGATCTCATGGCCCCCCCTTCTTCTTTCAGCACGGCCCCTGAGGACGCACACGTGCCTCGGGCCATGACCTGCGAAGCCCCTCTTGAAGAAGCCCCTTCCGGGCCGCGCTGATCTCTCGGAGCTGCGCTGGACCCGGGGCAGCGCCGCTGGCGCCGCCAGTCGGCGTCCCCCCAACATACGTATACTATGTGTTCGTCGCCCCCCCAGGGGCGACACGCGCACCGAGAAATCTTGTAGTATATGCGTCGTGGTGGGCGCTTTCCGGCCACACCGCTCGGGAAACGATATACTACAAGATGGGTATACTATATGTTCGGGTCGGACGCGCGCCTCCAAGGAGGACATATAGTATTAGTATGTCCCTGTGTGTCCCAGCCAGGGGGGTCAAGCGCCGACCCGAGAGATCCTCGCAGGCCTCCGAGAGGCGTCGTAGACCCCGGGAAGCCCCCCGTGCGCCTCCCGCGAGGAGCGGGGGGGGGCCCGGAGCTCCGACATGTGTGTTCGCCAAGCCTTGCGCATTTTCCGGGGTCTCTCGGCCTGCGGGGCCCGCTGTTGGGCCCTGGGGTTCAGCCGGGCCTGTCCCTCTATCGGGCTAAGAGAACTATGCACATGCACCGATCCTGGCCAGGCCCATCCTTGACCCAGGATGGGTGCGTATGCCTTCCTGGCCAAGGCAGGAGGGCGTATGCACCGATCCTGGGCTCAGGATGGGCCTGGCCAGAATCGGTGTATGTGCATAGTTATCTTTCCTCTGCTCTAGAGGAGGAGGATTCAAAAATAGTAAAAGAATTGTCTGGGGCCGATGTCTTGATTATTTGTTGACCATTCTGGTGCATGTTTCGAATATATTTGTGTCTTTCATCCAAAATCCCCCTGTAGGAGGACAGGCCCGACTTCACCCTGAGGCCATCAGCAGTGGATCTGGGACGAGGAATGGCCCTGGGGGAAGGAGCCGCGGGACCTCCGCGGAGGCGCGTTGCTGGGCAGCGCTCGGACGTGTGCATCTGCTCCCGGCGAGGACCATCGAGGAGCATCCTGGATCATCTTGCGGGAAAACATCCGGGGTGGACAGACCTCCTACCCTGACACGTCGATTAAGGAATTGGCCGTTTTCGGTTCGCGAGAGGGCGTAGCGGCCGTCATGTTTGCGGGTCCCGGTCCGTCGGTTTCGGTCCCAGGCCGTTTTCACTGAGGGGAGGTGTGCTAAGCCACCGCCGAAACATAAGCGCACGAAACAGATCAATGCACGTGGAATGGACGTCCGAGCAATGGCAAGATTGGGGATCATCACATCATCGGATGTCAGAGGTTACGGGATCTGCTGCACGCAGACGGTTTCGGCGCCGCCGTCAGGCTCGCTCCTCGACGCCCACTGGCGCCCTCCCGGCGTCGGGAGGCGCCAGGAAGACGAGCTCTGGGACCGGGACGATCGAAATGGGTACGGAGAGAACGGGTACAAAGACCGACAGCGGTTCTCTTCCATTTTGAGCAGGACTCGCTGTCCGCGCCGCAGCGGAAGTTGTCCCTTGAAGACACAAAGCCGCCCGCCCAACAGTGGCCGTTGTCGGTTTTGGATAACACTTGTTGTTGGGCATTTTTTTTAATTTTCTTTGTACCCATTTCCCCGGGGTGGACAGACCTCCTACCCTGACACGTCGATTAAGGAATTGGCCGTTTTCGGTTCGCGAGAGGGCGTCGCGGCCGTCATTTTTGCGGGTCCCGGTCCGTCGGTTTCGGTCCCAGGTCGTTTTCACTAAGGGGAGGTTTATCAAAGGGAGGTTCCTCCACCGCCGAAGTTCGGGCGACCAAGTGGGAGGTGATTCGATGGTCCTTGAGGTCCGACGGAATGGACAAAATTGCAACATCGTGGAAAGGCACGACTGGACCCCTTGTGCAATTCCTTCTTGCTGTGGCGCTCGTCGAGCCGGACAGCGGTCCGAGAGAGCCTCGGGGCCCGAGGCAGGCCGCCAGATCGCCGGGTGTAGAAGAAATCGCGACGCCAGGATTTCGACCCCCCCTGCACCTTCTCTTCGGATGCAACTCCTGGGAGGTCAAATTCTGATTTTGCCCTGGTCCGAAATCCGGCTTACTCCGTCTTAATCCCGCTTAATCCGGCTTGATCCCGCTTAGTCCCGCTTAATCCGGCTTAATCTGGCTTGATCCCGCTTAATCCGCGGGCTAATCTGGCGCAGCAGCCCGCCAATGGGGCTTAATCTTTCTTGATCCTTCCGACGCATACCTCCCAGTAGTTGCCTCCTAACCCTTTGGAGAGTGTCTTTGTTTTAATCCCGGGCGATAACCGGCGGTGTTGGGGGAGGGCGGAGGGCGGGGGGCCAGTCACGTACGCGCCGGCGCTGTCTGGAAATACATCGGAGTATTCTAGGCCTCCCAGATGGGGTTCGAGTAGATGGGGTCGGAGAATCACGCCGCATCGCCGATGCATCGTCGATGCGGCTCGATGTGCAGCCCGATGTGCTTCACGTCGACGTCGTCGATGCATCGCCCACGTCGACGATGCATCGCCGGTGCATCGCCGATGCATCGGCGATGCGGTGCGATCCGCCGACCCCGTCTACTCGGACCCCATCTGGGAGGCCTCTGAATATCCTACGACACCTCGGAGGTCAGGTGGCCGGGGCCGGTCACGGCGGCCATCGCGAAACATACGTCACAGCGCGTTCCCGCTGATGACGCTCCACTCGTCCGGCCCGAGAAGAGCTGGCCGCGCTGCGCAGCACGGGCGCGGACCCCATCGCTGGGTGTTCGTTCTGGGGACCCGCCTTTGGCCCACCGAACAGAGCTGATCGACTCTGGTTCGACTACAGTTCCGTTCAACGGACTCAAGTTCCATTCGACTCTGTTCGGATTTGCTCGATCTGATCTGCCATTGGCCTACCCAACGGATCTGCTCGGCTTTGGTTCGATTCCAGCTCGAATCTAGTTCGACTCAAGTCGACGGACGTCCGACGCAGAATCGACCAAGGTCTGGGTGGAACGAGTGGCTCCAGGTTTGAAGCGGCTGGGGGGTCTGCGCTGGATGGGCCTTCAGAGAATTGGGCACGATCGGGGACGAAGTGCCGTCTGCCCCCCTTAGTGCTGGCAGGAACCAGTGCTGGGCCACCTCTGCCCCCCAGCTGATCCCTGAGGGCGCCACCTTTCGCGCAAGGTCAGTGACTGACGAAGACGGGGTCGCCTTCACCGACAGTGGCGTAAGCTGCCCGCGTAAGGCGGCACGTGAGCGCCCTCGTTTCCAATAAGGCTTGCCGCGCTGGCGGCCCGCGTAAGACAAATCAAGTGGCTTCGCTTGCGTAAGACAAGTTGTTCGTCGCTCAGGTGGGGAGGATACTTTGGAGGCGCCCTTCAAAATCCGCTTCCTCGCTGCCGATGACTAGAAAAAGAAGAGAGGGGCGCGAAACGTCCACTTCCGTTCTCAAAGTCACCCCAGGGGCGCGAAGACGACTGCGCCTCGCGCGTGGCCGTCTGGGTGGGGTAGGCGCCCTCCTCCAGGGTGGCGGTGCGAGTGCGCGAAGATGACCGCGCATCACGGGGCGCAATGCGCGAAGTTGGGTGACCTGACTTGGGCCCTCGTGGCAGAGATTTCAGCTTCGGGCGCAGCAGGGCTGGAGGGAGGCCCCCAGAACGAGCATCTGACCTCGGCGGCGAGCCCAGGGGGAAGTGAGAAGGGGCCGGCCTTCTTAGAAGGCTCGGAAGTCCCCCAGCCTTCTGAGAAGTTGTCTGAGCCTTTCCCGAAGACACGGAAGAAGTGGCCGGCCTTCTCAGAAGGTTGGAGGCCTTCTGAGAAGCCACGCCGTCTTGTGAGAAGGCCTTCTCCTCCTCTCCCTATAGGTCTCCCAGATGGGGTCTGAGTAGATGGGGTCGGATCATCGCTTCTCCCTTCGCTCGCCGCCGACGGCCCGTCGCCTTCCTGCACGAGCGCCTCGCCGCCGACGGCCCCGCGCGCGCCGTCGTGGCCCGGGCGGCGGAGAGCAGCGAGTACACGGCCCCCTTCGGCCGGCACCGGGGCCCCCTGGACGGCCGGCGCCCGTGCGTGCGGGACTGGGACCCGCTCTTCGAGGCCCGGCTGCGCCTCCTCGCTCCTCACCCAGACTCGCGGGCGATGTTTCTCCCCCAGTCCCCGAGTTTCGCCCGAAAAGTTTCGCGGCTCAGAAAAATGGGAAAACCCTGGGATACACCCCAAGGGGGCCATTCGGACGCACCCCTACCGAGCATGGACACCCCCCCCATCGTATATCCCAGGGTTGGGCCCCAAATTTCTGGTCCATTTGGAAACCCCACGAAGCCTGGGATAGGGGTCGACACATCCCCTGTTACAGACATGATCGCGTCGCAAACAAAACAGGACGGAGGTTTCTCGCCGTTTTCGGCCTCTGGAGGCCCTCGCCGGGCCCCGGGACCGTCAAAAAAGGACTCAGGATGAAAAACTGGCCCCGGAGAACGGGTCGGGACTTCTCATGAGGACGCCGTCCTGAAAAAATCAGGACGTCGCATGTTTGGGCAGGAGAATTTGTTTTTAGGGTCGGGCGATATCCCTGGTTTTCGGGCTTGCCCCCCCTCCCCTCCTCCCCAGGATAACCTAACCTTGCCGGCTGTGCAGGTCCGCAGGAGGGGGGGGCGCGGGCATATGCAGGGATGCCCACAGCGCGAGGGTTAGGTTATCGGCAGGCCCCCCCCCCCCCCCCCCCCGGATAGCCCGGGTTATCGCCGATTCAAAAAAACGGTCTCCCGAGGCTCTATTCCGCCTCCTCCTCCTCCTCCTCCTCCTCCTGCACTTGATCCTCTGCATCCTCCTCCTCCGCCTCTTGCTCCTCTTCGTCCCTCCTCCTCCTCCTCCTCCTCCTCCTCCTCCTCCTCCTCCTCCTCCTCCCCTCTCCTCCTCCTCCCCTCTCCTCAGATGAGGAAGTGCACCCACACCTCTAGGCCTCCTAATTAGATGGGGTCGGAGATGGGGTCGGAGCATCGCGCCGCATCGTCGATGCAACGCCGATGCGGCTCGATGTGCAGCCCGATTCGCTTCACGCCGACGTCGCCGATGCATCGCCCACGTCGACGATGCATCGCCGGTGCATCGCCGATGCATCGCTGATGCATCGGCGATGTATCAGCGGGGCGGCGCGATCCTCCGGCTCCATCTGCTCCGACCCGATCTAGGAGGCCTCCGGGGAAGGGTACCCATGCAGCTACCCTTCCCTCGTTTTCTCCTTCTTAGGCCTCGTGGGAGGCACTGGTCGCCACCGTTGGATTCGCCTGGAAATTCATGTCAGAACGCCGCACCTTGGAGGAGGTCCGGGGAGTAGCGGTTCCCCCATCTCCGCCCCCCAGATCTCAGGCGATGTGATTTCCCAAGCCGCGCGTTCTTCCTCGATCTCGGCCCCATGGACCCGTTATCTGGCCTTGGGGCCATCACACACGGAGCCGAGAAGAACAAATACACCCTTTGGGGAAGGCGTCGGGAACTCTGGGGCCGCGCATGGGGAGAGCACACATCGTCGAATGCCTGAGCTTTATCTCCTCCTCCTCTTCCTTCTCGGTCGTCATGGGGGTACCCGCCTGGGGCTGCGCCCCCCCTTTGTGCACAGCGCCCCCGACGGGGCTCGCATCCTTCTCGTCGACGGCTTCCACGGGCTGACTGATTTGAAGAACTTCTTCTCTTCTCATCTCTCACCCTTCTCCTCTCAGGGATATCTCCGAGCTGGGTTAGCCGAGGGGCGCCAGAGCCCCCCCCATGTGTGAAAGCACCGCTTCTACATCGCACTCTAGGCGCTTTAGCTGTACTGCTAGTTTCTCGCATGCCAGCAGTCAGACTCGTGTCTCCTCCCTTTTCCCCAGAGGCCACCAGAGGCCGACCGGAAACCTCCTCGACCCTCCCTCGATGGGCGCACCCCCCTGCCCCTCGCGAGGCCGTGCACGGCAGTGCGCTGCCCTTCTCCGAGGAAGAAACGCGGCACGAAGATGCGAGGTTTCGGAGCTCCGCGCGGCGTTCTTGGATCGGCGCCGGAACCCCCTTTCCCAGGCCTCCAGAAAGGGGGCCCGAGCAGATCGCATCGTCGATGCATCGGTGACGCGTGACGATGCGGAGCCCCATGTTTCCCACGCCGACGGTGCCGATGCATTGCCGAATACGCCGATGCACGATACGTCACCGATGCATCGGGGACGCATTGGCGATGCGGCGCGATCCTCCGACCCCATCGAGTCGGGACTCCTTTGGCGGCCTCCACATCTTGCGGCGCCTCCAGCGCCGCCCGGGCGGCCCAGCGCCGATCATCCTGGAAGTCCGCGCGGGCCTCGGAAAGCCTGTGCTGGTGTCGGGGGCGGAAAAGAGGGGGGTGATGACTAGGGGGGGGTGGATATCATGGCGTGGGCCATGATATCTCCCCAACTTTCATGGCGCCTCTTCTTATTTCATTACGTCCCTGGCCCCCCCGCTGGGCCGCGCACATGCCGCCGGTCATGATCTGCACCCCCCCCTCTTGGACACCCCCCTCTTGGCCGCTCCCGATGGTGCCGGTGTTCCTGCCTCGTGCCTCTCGCACACGGACCTGGCCTTCGAGCCGCTCTCGTGGAGCCTGGCCGGCGTCACCAACATGGTAGTCACCGCCCACCAAACCACCCCAACCCAACCCGAAGGCCCCAATTTGCCCTCCATTTCCAGTTGGGGGGGGTCGGGGAACGCTGAGAAAACACACATGAAGCTCGTACCCCCCCCCCAACCCGAAATTCGGGTCTTCGGGTTGGGTTGGGGTGGATTGGTAGGTAGTCAGGTGGCCGCCAACGCGCTCTTCGCGGGCCGCGTGGCGCAGTACAACAGCCTGGAGGTGGAGCCCGGGCGGGAGTTCCACTCGGGCTACAGCAAGTACCGGGATCGACTCGCTGCGCCCGGAACAGGTCGGGGGAGCGTAAGGCCCGGGTTTGCCGGGACTCGGGTTCGCCACCGTTTTTTGACGACCGCGCCTCGGATTTTGACGAGGAGGATTTTCGTGGGATGTCTGCAGCGGGAGGCCTCGTCAAAATGCAGGCTCGGCCTCGTCATTTTTTTGACGGCCTCGTCGGGGATTTCCGAGTCCCCCGTACCCGGGTCTTACGTCTCCCCGAACAGGGGAGAGCATGCTCCCAGACCTCGATCACAGCTTCGTCCGCGTCGCCCTCCCGATGTCCAGGCGCCTCGCCGCGACGCTTCCGCCCGGGCTGGCGCAGCGGGTGCCCTACGAGCCGTTTCAGCTCTGGCAGGGCGCCGAGTTCTCCGAGGAGTGCCTGTCGACGCTGCCGGACTATCCAGCTGCCTGTGGCAGGCCCAGCCCCTTGTGCTAGCGCAGCATCCGCAAGCATGCACGATTCCACCGAGCTCGCCCGAACAGGTTTTGTGAAACCGTTTTTGGGTTATTTTGGAAAGTATTGGGACGCAGCGCGATGTTGTTGTAGCGCGGCGTGACCGTAGCAATGTTGTGCAGTGTTTGTTGCGTTGCCTCTGGAGAGTTTCTGAGGATTGTTTTGAGCCATCTTGTGGGCTTCGAGTGGGCTTGTCGGTCGTCTCTGGGCAATATGTGGCGTCATGGTGCTATCGATCTCTTCCGACGAGGCTCGGTAAACTAATGCTACGATTATCTGGGCGCGTCTTGGGGCCATTTCCATATTGGAACTCTTGGGGTCATCTTGAACCGTCCTGGGGGGGCTGCTTCGGGCCCTCTAGGCCTTCCCTCGAGCTTTCCCGAGGCCATCTCGGGCGGAACAGCTGGGGAAACTGTTTTGTCCGCGAGCAGTGCCCGCATTTGGGGGCCCTCCTTCTTTCCCAAACACTTGGCGAGGTTTCCTTCGGCGAGGACCATCGAGGAGCATCCTTGATCAGTTGGCGAAAAAACCACGCACGAATCAAAAAAAAAAACACAGGGGATGGACGTCCGAGCGATGGCCTGTTAGGGGCCCTTCTCCTTTCCCAAACAGTGCTTGCACTTAGCCGATGGGTCAGCGGAGGTGTTGGCCGGTGCCCGCCCGTTGGCGCCTCGTGGGCGCCTCGTGGGCGCCTCGTGCGACGTGCGGGTCAGCCGAGGTTCCGCCCGGTGCCCGCCCGTGCGCGCAGATGGGTGCCTCGTGAATCCCAGCCTTGTCCCTTGGTATCGGTCGGACGTGTGCACGTTTCCCGGGCGGGGATTATATCGAGGACGCCGGCGGCGCATCACCGGCCGCTCCCTGGGAGTTTGTCGAAGTGGTGCGCAGCATCGAACGTCGTGACGCTCCAGGGGCCTCTTGGGGGCGTCCCAGGGGCTTCTTGGAGACCTCTTGGGGCCCTCTTGGGGCCTCTTGGGGCTCTCTTGGAGTTTGTTGGGGGCCTCCAGGGGGCCTCTTAGGGCCTCCTGGGGGCCTCTTGAGCCGAAAGCTCGAAATGTTCACTCGGGTTCTCTTCTGGGCCTCCTCTTGGGGCCATCCTGGGGCCCCTCTTGGGCCGTCCCGGGGGCCTCTTGGGCGGTCTGGGGGCCCTCTTGGGCCGTCTTGGGGCCGTCTTGGGGGCCTGTTGGGCCGTCCTGGGGCGATCTTGGGGGCCTCTTGGGCCGTCGTGGAGCGCGGGTAAGCCGAAATGGCGTGAACGTGAAAATCCTTCAAAAACCATTGGAAAATCAATGATTTTTGCTTCTCGGGGCTGTCTTGGGGGTGCTCTTGGAGCCCTCTTGGGCCGTCTTGAAGGCGTCTTGGGCCGTCTGGAGGCCACCTTGGGCGTCTTGGAGCGATCTGGAACCGCCTGGAGGCTCTCTTGGATTGCTCGGGACTCTCTTGGACCGGCTTGGGGCGCCCTTGGGTCGTCCCCGGGCCGCTTGAGACCTTGAGGGGGGGGGGGGCCGGCGGCAGAGTGGGGCCCCCTCGGAGGGACTTTCAGGAGGTTTTTGACCAGGCACTGGAGAAGGGGGCCAAAGACTGTGCCAGACACTGCGTCAGAGAGGTCTCGCACGGCCCAACCCGCAGGGCGGGAGCGGCCGGATTCGTAAGGGCTTCGCCCCCTGCCGCCGGCCCCGTCCCTCGGAGAATGGGCCATGGAAGAGCGAAGTCATGAGGCCTTGGCTTCGCCGTGAAGCAGTGTCGGGACCTGTTTGTTTTTGGATCCTGACCCCGCCGATCTGCGTGAGGGGTGCCGCCGATCTGCGAACCTCCGGCCTACAGCCTGGTGGCCCCACAAGGGGGCCAGTGGATTCAGGAGCATCCTGGATCATCCCGCGAAAGAACCACGCACGAAACCGACAAAAGCACAGGGAATGGACGGCCGAGCGATGGCAGTTACCGCGCAGCTTGCACCGCATGCCTTGCGCCGCATACCCGGACCCTGCGCTGCACAGTTTGCACCGCGTAGCTTGCCCCACACAGCTTGCGCCGCATAGCCTACACCACGTAGGTTGCACCTCACGTCTTCCATCGCGTACCTTGACATAGCTTGCCCCTACCACTACACACCACATACATCGTCTTTTGTTTAGACGACGAATAGACCCTCTTGACTTCACAGTACCAGGCTTCGGGCTCCACCTTTGGGTTTCTGCCTCATCGCTCCTTTTCCGCTTGAAATCATACCATCACAGGCCAACCGATGTGGGCAATTTTTGTCAATGTTGCCAAATGGTACCATACACGCACATTCGATTATCTGAAACGATGATTATTCAGAGCACCCCTGGCAGCTTGATACAGCAAATCCGCACGCGCGCACCTGTCGAACCCAAACCAAACACATCAATGTTGCAAGCATTTCGATGGGGAGACATTTGGAAGTCAACGCTTCGGGTACTTACACCATCTCGTCCGGGCTTGCCCCCTCCAGCAGACCCTCTCCCTGTAAGGGCTTCGCCCCCTACGAAACGTCTCTCGCTCGTACCTCGCTCTTTCCGTCATCCGAGGCTACTCCTGCCGTCCCCCCCACCCCACCCCTCGCTGTTTCCCCCGACTACCGAAATGCGACGCCACGCATGCTTTCCGTCATCAGGGCCTCGGGTGAAGATGCAGGTTGCCTGCCCGCGCACACTTGCCGAAACGCCTTCTCATCTCACCACGCGGTGCATCCGCCCCGATCCAGCGTGCGCCCAGTGCGCGACTGGGTGCCAAAAAAGTGGCATGCGGGCCACATGCGCGCGCCGCCACGCGCGCGCGCATGCCGAAACCCGTCCAGCACCATTGGTGGTGGACACATTGCGATATATATATATACGTATTTACAGAGAGATACGCACAACTGTCTATATATATGTGTACACACATATACATATGTATATATTCCAAGACGTACGAACACCCATAGCTATTGAACAACCAGTGGTCAGGTTTCTGGATGTTCTGCGCACGCACTTCCTTGCTCACCCTCACCAGCGCAATCGCATCACCGCCAGTATCGTCATCGGCAATCGCCGCCATGAGCGCCATCATCATCACACTCGCTTTCATGACCGACATGCGGACATCTTCATCGTCATCGTCGTCACCGTCATCGCCATCATTGGCCTTGCCGTCGTCATCGTCACCATCGCCTTCATCATCGCCAGTATGACGGAAAGCGTGCGTAGCGTGGGATCCGCTAGTCGGGAGGATTAAATTGGGGGAGTGTGAGGGGGTGGCCTCTGCATTGCGGGATCCAATGGCCCGCCCTTTTCCCTGTCATTGGAGCCCTTGACAGGGGAAATCCGGTGTTTTTCTGGCCCGCCCGTTTCCTTGTTAACGGACCGGTAACAGGGATTTGTTTCGCTCGGGCACCTTTTTCCTTGTCAACGGAGCCCTTGTAAGGAAAAACCGGGTGCCTAACAGGGAACATCAGGTGACAGACGTTCGGGCACCCTTTTCCTTGTTAATGAAGCCCTTAACAGGGACTTAGCAGGGAAAATCGGGTAACGGACGCGTTGTTTCCTTGTTAACGGACCGTTAACAGGGAAAAGAGTTCCTTGTTAACGGACCGTGAGCGGACCCTGAACACCGCGGTTCTCAAGAGCGAGCAGTTACGTGAGCAAGCTGATAAGACCAAGGTTCCCAACAGAGAGCGGTGACGTAACCAGTTCTTGACACCAGGGCCCGAAAAGGGCGGCAACGAACGTAAGCTCCGCGTAAGTTCCGCGTAGGCTTTGCGTAGGCGCGTAAAGTCCTCGTCAATTTGAGGCACTTTCGAGACAGCCCATGAGAGGCCAAGCGTCCTCCAAGACGGTCCAAGATGCCCCTCCAAGACGACCCAAGAGGCCAGAGGCCCATAAGATCGCCCCAAGATGGCCCAAGATACCCCCAAGACGGCCCCAAGACGTGTTCGAATATCTGCACGTATGCAGACGGTTTCAACGGCTTCCAAGACGGCGTAGCGAGGCCCAGAAGGGCCCGAGGACGACCCAAGAGCGATCCAGATAGCCCACGACGGCCTCAATACGGCTCAAGAGGTCTCCAAGACCCCGCCCCCCGAGCACCGATGGTCGGTCTAAGCGGGAAAAGAAACGAAAGTAGGGCTTTCGCCGCCCAGGGGGCGCCCTTGGCCCCGCCCTACCTGCATAAGCTCCTCGCCAGCTTAAGGCACCTCCGAGACGGCGTGAGAGAGGCCCAGACTGGACCGAAGACGGCCTAAGAGCGATCCAAGATAGCCCAAGATGGCCTCAGCACAGCCCAAGAGGCCTCGAATACACCCCAAGCGGCACCCGAGAGGACCCCCAAAAGTGTTGAAGGACGAATCAACCATTGCTGCCTTTAGGTTTATGGAGTTTTTCCAGCTCCTCGCCTTTTCGGGCAAGGCCGGCCCGATACAGCTCCAGAGCCCCCCGAGATTGTGCCATGACGGCCCGAGAGGCTCCCAAGAGAGCTTGAGGACAACCCAGAAGGGCCTAAGAGAGCCACAAGACGGCCCAAGGAGGGTCTGGAAGACGCCCAAGATGCTCCCAAGAGACAGTCTGTCGTCGTCCTCATCATCATCAACAGCACTATCATGTTCATTCGTGTGTTATCGCGCTCTCGTGCCTTCCCAAGATACCAACACGCCCTGGTTCCCCCTCAAGAGGCCTCCTGCAGCTTCGAGATAGCCCTAGGGGGCGCCAAACATGCCACCAAGATGCCTCAATAGAGCCTCCAGACGGGGAGACAGAGAGAACGAACGGGCAAGCCAGCGGCATCTCGCGCTCTGAAAGTAAATGCGCTTTCCGTCTTCGGCCCATCCCGCCACCGTGCCTGGGTTGTGGGTCACATGCCTCTAGGATGTTCGTTTGGATGTTACGGGAGGCCTCTCGGGGGCCTCTTGGGGACCGTTTTGGGAGACCTCTCGGGGGCCGTTTCGGTGACTTTTGGTTGCGTTTTGACGGTTTTTTGGGGGTCTCTTGGAGCCTTTTGGGGCCTCTTGCGGCCTCCTGGGTACCTCTTGGGCCGAAATACTACGATTTTCGGTTCGTGTTCCTCCCCTTGGCGCCGTCTTGGGCCGTCTCGGAGCCTTCTTGGGCCATCTTGGAGGCCTCCTGAGCTTCCCTGGGGCGTTCTTGGGGGCCTGTTGGGCCCGTCTAGGAGGGTCGGAAGCTCCTGAAGTCGAGGACCCAAACAATCTTGAAGACGTAAGGCTACTCAGCGATTTTGGCTTCTCGGGGCCCTCTTGGGAAGGCTCTTGGGGCTCTCTTGGGGCGCCTGACGGCTTGTTTGGCAGTCTTGGGACCATCTTGGGCGTCTTTTGCCGATCCCGCGGCGATATAGGGCCCTTTTGGATTGTCTGGGCGGCCTCTTGGGGACATCTTGGCCCGTCTTGGGTCTCATTGGGCCCGAAAGTCACGCGACAAGCAGCGCTAAACCCCGGAAGATTTGGTCACTTCGAGTCGGGGCTCTTCAAAGAATCCTCAGGATTGAAGGCTCAGTCTTAAGTGATTAGGTCAAGTGCCTCAAGGGCACGGTGGTGGGTTAATTATCGTTGCCGCAGTTTCGAGCGTCACCGTGATATCGCGCCCGCCCGCGTCACCGACCCGCACAGAGGCGCCCGCGCGCCAGCGCGGCCTCTTGAAACGCGCTGGGGAGGTCCCATCGGGAAGCGCCATCGCGGCCGCAGCAGCTGTTCCAAGCTTGCTGGCCGTGTTGCGCCCGAGGCTGTGCGCGCCAGCGCGGCCGCAGAGATGCGGCAGCCAGTGCCAAGCAGACACGGTCGCGTGGGTTTCACACACATCGCGGGTGGGAGGGTGGGATGTTTGCGAGAGCAGTGGAGGTGCCAGTCCATAATGGCGAACACCACCACGCAGTTTGCACCGCACAGCTTGCACATCCACAGTGCAATAATTGATTGTTTGGGATCTACGCTGGCGAGGCCCTGCCGGAACACTCCCGGGAGGCCTCCTGGAAGCTCGTCGTGGCATCTGTCGGCCTCCTGGAGGCATCCTGGCTTTGGGGTGAGGGCTGTTCTGTGGGTGTTCGCAGGCTAGCGCTGGCTGGGAGGTGCTACGGCCGCCTTGGGTCGTCTTGCAGCCGTCTTGGGGCAGGGAGGGGCGCTGGGGAACAACTCGAGGAGGGTCGCCCACAAGGATGTGGAGCGAGGGGAATCATTTCTCAGGATCCTGGATCCTGAGAAATGATTCCCCTCGTGGATCCTGAGAATCCTGGATCCTGAGAATCGAATCGATCGGACCGACATGGATCCTGGATCCATGTCGGTCCGATCGATTCGATTCGGTATCGATGCGGGCTGGCCCGATTTGATTCCGATCTGCCGTCGGTGCGGACTGGAGCTGTCATGCTGCCCTTGTGCACCACGACGCGGCCGATGCGATTTGATGTAGGCTCCGCGTCGCTGCGATCCGATCTGGCTCGAGTTCCGAATCCGTTTCGGCTCCCCCGTGCTGGCCGATCTGGGGCGGGGGGGGCACACCTGGAGAGCTGCGGGGGGGCCGCCCAGAGTGTTCCCAAAGACATTGGGGCAGAGAAAGCGTTGGGCCAACCCTCTGCGTCTAATCGCTTTCCCGACCTCTGCTTCCTGCTCATCCTGTTTCTCACTCGCAATGTTCTCCTCCTTCTCCTCCTCCTCCTCCAAGATACTGCGCAACAAAAACGATGGACTCTTTCTTGGAGCGACCAGGTCTGCCACGACACCCGTCGGCGGCTAGAGAGAGTCAGCGCATCGTCGAGGGATGTGTGGGAAGGGTCGGATGTCAGATCCTTCGCGAACGCACCCAGCTTTGGCCCAACCCCCTCGGCCTGGACCCCATCGCGGAGGGATGTGTGGGAAGGGTCGGATGTCAGATCCTGCGCGAACGCACCCAGCCTTTGGCCCAACCCCCTCGGCCTGGACCCCATCGCGGAGGGCGCTGTGGGAAGGGTCGGATGTCAGATCCTTCGCGAACGCACCCAGCTTTGGCCCAACCCCCTCGGCCTGGACCCCATCGCGGAGGGCTGCGTGGGAAGGGTCGGATGTCAGATCCTGCGCGAACGCACCCAGCCTTTGGCCCAACCCCATCGGCCTGGACCCCTTCGCGGAGGGCTGTGTGGGAAGGGTCGGATGTCAGATCCTGCGCGAACGCACCCAGCCTTTGGCCCAACCCCCTCGGCCTGGACCCCTTCGCGGAGGGCTCTGTGGGAGGGTCGGATGTCAGATCCTTCGCGAACGCACCCAGCCTTTGGCCCAACCCCCTCGGCCTGGACCCCTTCGCGGAGGGCTGCGTGGGAAGGGTCGGATGTCAGATCCTGCGCGAACGCACCCAGCCTTTGGCCCAACCCCATCGGCCTGGACCCCTTCGCGGAGGGCTGTGTGGGAAGGGTCGGATGTCAGATCCTGCGCGAACGGCTTTCGGCCTGGAAGGGCTCTGTGGGAAGGGTCGGATGTCAGATCCTGCGCGAACGCACCCAGCCTTTGGCCCAACCCCCTCGGCCTGGACCCCTTCGCGGAGGGCTGCGTGGGAAGGGTCGGATGTCAGATCCTGCGCGAACGCACCCAGCCTTTGGCCCAACCCGCTCGGCCTGGACCCCGGCGGGAACCCTCAAGCCAGCCGCACAGGCCGCTCCGACACCGCCCCTCCGCCGTTGCCGCGAGCGAGGGGCTCGCGGCGGCGGGCTCGGCGCTCTGGCGGGAGGAGCAGGACTTGCGCTGCCCAGGCGAGGGCTGGGCGAGGGGGGAGGGGTCTGGTGGGGGCCCAGCGCCGCCGGTGGTCCGCCAAGCCACGTTCTTGGTATCGCTCGGACGTGTGCACTTTCTCTCGGCGGGGATTCTTCGGGAGCATCCTGGATCATCCGCGAATGGACATCAGGAGGAGGAGGAGGAGGAGGAGGAGGAGGAGGAGGAGGAGGAGGAGGAGGAGGAGGAGCAGGAGGGGATTATAAGGAGCATCCTGGAACCACCACGCACGAAGCCGAAAAAAGCACAGGGAGTGGACGTCCGAGCGATGGCCAGCCTGCTGGCCGACCCGGGCCCAATGAGCCACGCGGGGCCGACCCTCCTGCGCCGCCCTCCGCTGGCCCGGGCTCGGGAGCTGCCGAGCAGCCGGCCAGGCTTCTCGACAGGGCCCTGGCCGACCCGGAGGAGTGCGTCCCCCGAGTCTCTTGGGCGTTGCGTAATGGAGGGGTCATAAATGGGGGGGTGTCGCGGGTGGTCCGAAAAGGTACCCAAACGGTACCTAAACGAGCCCCCTGGGGCTCCAGAGGGGCCCGAAAGGGGCACGAAAGGGGACCGTTTCTGACCCCCCCATTTATGACCCCCCCACTAAGCCACGCCCAAGTCTCTTTCGGCATCGCTCGGACGTGTGCATTCTTTCTCGGCGAGGACCCTCCTGGACCCTCGAGCAAAAAAAAACAACCACGCACGAAACCGGCAAATGCACCGGAAATGGACGTCCGAGCGACGGCAAGGTCTGGCTCAGCCGGCAGGTGTATAACTGCAGTTAGTGCAATGTTGTTTCGGCGTCCCACCCTCCGAGGGGGCAAATCGCGGTCAGCATCCCGTCCGGAGAAACAACGATCGGGCATCAGGGGCCAGGCCCGCCCCTGAGAGGGAGGAAGAAGAGGCGGAGGAAAGGAGGGGCCCACGCGCTGGTGGCTCGCAGCCGCACAGCTCGAACAAAATTGGCTTTCTAGTCCAGGATGACTGTCGCGCTGCACCCCATGGCGCCGCGTTTGCGCTGAAGCCTAGCACAACGGCGTTCAGTGTAAATGGAGCTCAGCCAGAGCGCCTGATCCTGCAGGTTCCTGTAAGGCCAGAGTTATCGGGGGCGGAAAAGAGGGGGGTGATGGCTAGGGGGGTGGATATCATGGCGGGGGCCATGATATCTCCCCAGATATCATGGCGCCTCTTCTTATTTCATTACGTCCCTGGCCCCCCCGCTGGGCCGCGCACATGCCGCCAGTCATGATCTGCCCCCCCCCTCTTGGACACCCCCCTCTTGGCCGCTCCCGAAGTTAGGCTGAGCCGGGCTTGGGAGCCTCTCGCTGCCTTGGAGCCTCGAGGTGGCCTTATACAATGGCTGAGACAAGTTTCGGACGCCCCCGAAAAGAATGCAGCCAGTTTTTTCCAAGGTGGCTGAGCTGGGCTTGCGCTGAGGCGGGTTAGTTCGCGCTCGATTGGGAAAGGAGGGACCTAGATTTCCGGCGATTGGACTTTTCCCAATCCTGGCAGTTTTCCTAGACTTCGGCCTGTGGGGCCCGCTTTTTCGATCCCAGACAACAGAGTCTGCTCGGAGAAGGGTTCGGGACCTCTAGCAGCGCAGTGAGAAAATTCACACCGTCTGGCTTCTGCAGTTTCGGAATCTGCTGCCCTAACCTCTGTGGGCAGCGCCGCCTCCGTGGACGCGGGCCGGAGCCTCAATGCCCAGGACTTCTCTCCACCGAGTGCCTCCGGCGCCAGAAGGGCGCCGGGGAGATCAGTTGCACGGAGGTGGTTCGCACGACCCACCCTTTCTTGATGACCCTCCCCCCTCATTCGTCCGAGCCGACAGGCGAAGGGTGGGAGCCCTCGAACTGGACCCAGCGCTCCGGGGCCTCGCGGCACGTCTTGGCAGAAAGAATGGAGAGCATGATCTTGGACATGCTCGCGAGCCTCGCGGTGTTTGATCAGGAGCCTTTGAGGGATAGATAACGGCATGAGCGTTGGTGATCATGTTGTCGTTAGTGTTTTGTTGTTGGTGATGATGTTGATCATGTTTTTTTTTTTTTTTTTTTTTTTTTTTTGTTGTTGATGTTATTGTTGTTGTTGCTATTGTTGTTTGTTGTGTGTTTGATGTTGTGTTTGTTGGTTGGTTGGTTTGTTGTTTCTAGTGTTGTTGTTTTGTTGATGTTGTTGTTGTTGGTGTTGTAGTTTTCGGTTTCGTGTTCGTGTTCGTTGTTGTTGTCGTTGTTGTTGCTGCTGCTGTTGATGCTGTATGTGCTGCTGCTGTTGCTGTTGAGTTCGCATTGCTGAAGAACAATTATTGTTGACCCCCCCTCTGGCGACCATTGTGTTTTTTTATCGAAGTGATTCCCCCAGGGCTTGCACCGTTTTTTGTACAGGGCAAGCCACGGGGCTCAAACTGGGTTCTTGGCCCCCGGATTACGACAACACCGGCTCCCGCCTGAGACTTCCTCACAATTTAGCCAGGACCCCCGCTCCCGCCTGAGATTTCCTCGCATTTCACCGGGTTCGCGCTCTCGCTCGGAATTTCCTTACAATATATTCAGGAATCGCTCTCTCGGCGCTTTGGAGTCGCGCCCTCGCTAGGGACTTGCTTGCAATTTATTCCAGAATCGCGCTCTTGCGATGGAATTCCCAGCGACTTACTCAAGCGCCGCGCTCCTGACACTCAAGCACCCAGGAATCGCGCTCACGCTTAGGACTCCCTCGCAGCTAACTTAGGGATCGGGAGTTCGCTGCCATTCGTGGCCCCGTTGCAGCCCTTCGTACCCCCCTCGCTGCCCTTCGTGGCCCCGTTGCAGCCCTTCGTACCCCCCTCGCTGCTCTTGGCCCCGTTGCAGCCCTTCGTGGTCCCCTCGCTCCCCTTCGTGGACCCATTGCTGCCTTTCGTGGTCCCCTCGCTGCCCGTCGTGGTCCCGTTGCATCTCTTCGTGGCCCTTTTGCTGCCCTTCGTGGCCCCGTTGCAGCCCTTTGTGGCCCCCTCGCTGCCTTTCGTCGCCCCGTTGCAGCCCTTTGTGACCCTGCTGCAGCCCTTCGTGGCCCTGTTGCAGCCCTGCGTGGCCCCGTTGCAACTCTTCGTGGCCCCCTCGCTGCCTTTCGTGGCCCGGTTGCAGCCTTTCGTGGCCCCCTCGCTGCCCTTCGTGGCCGCACAGACGTATACCATTCGTAGCCCCCGTTCGTTCGCGCTCTTCGTGCCCCCATATGCATGCCCTTCGTGGCCCCGGTGTCGCCCTTTGTGGCCCCCTCGCTTTCCTACCTGGCCCCGCTGCTACCCTCAGTTGCCGCATCCTTGCCCTCTGTGGCCCCGCATTACCTGCCCGTCGTGGCCCCCGCTTGTTCGCGCCCTTCGTGGCCCCATACGCATGCCCTTCGGGGCCCCGCTGTCGCCCTTCGTGGCCCCTTTCCTGCCCTTCGTGGCCCGCGCAGTCGCTCTCGCTCTCGCTCTCGCTCGTCGTCGTCGTCGTCGCCGTCGTCTTCGTCGTCGTCGTCGTCGTGGTCGGTCCCCTGTCCGTCCTTCTTGGGGTCGAGTTGCCGCCGATCAGCGCTGCCGCGGCCAGGCCGACGGTATGCGGCCGCTTCGCCGTTTGCTGGGGCCCAGCCTGCAGGGAAGAAATATCACCCCCCAAAAAAGGTACGACCGAAGACGAAGAGGGCGGGTGTTTGGGAAATAGACGTTGGATACCGTTCGAGCAGATCAGAGCGAACATTCTTAACATGACGTATGTTGTTGTTGATGTTGTTGTCGTTGTCGTTGTCGTTGTCGTTGTCGTTGTCGTTGTTGTTGTTGTTGTTGTTGTTGTTGTTGTTGTTGTTGTTCTTATTGTTATTGTTGTTGTTGTTGCTGGTGGTGTTGTTGTTGTTGTTTTCGCCGCTGGTGCTGTTGCGTTTGATGTTGATGTTGCTGGTGCTGGTGTTGGTGTTGTTGGTGTTGTTGGTGTTGTTGGTGTTGTTGGCCTTGGACCCTCACTACTGAAGATTAAGTATTGTTGATTCCCCCTCCGGTGACCATTCTGTGTTTTTCAATTCAAGTGTTTCCCCGAGGGTTTGCACTTTTTTTTATCAGCGCAAGTCACGGGGCTCAAACTGGGTTCTTGGCCCCCGGATTACGACAACAACAGCTCCCGCCTGAGACTTCCTCACCATTTAGCCAGGACCCCCACTCCCGCCTGAGATTTCCTCGCATTTCACCGGATTCGCGCTTACGCTTTGAATTTCTTACAATGTATTCAGGAATTGTTCTCTCTGCGCTCTGGAGTCGCGATCTCGCTGAGGACGCGCTTGCTATCTTTCCCAGAATCGCGCTCTTGCGTTGGACCCCCGCAATTTACGCAAGCGCCGCGCCCCCAACATTCAGGCACCCAGGAGTCGCGCTCACGCTGAGGATTCCCTCACAGCTTACTTAGGCTGCCCCTCGTGGCCCCGTTGCAGCCCTTCGTGGCCCCCTCGCTGCCCTTCGTGGACCCGTTGCAGCCCTTCGTGGCCCCCTCGCTGCCCGTCGTGGCCCCCTCGCTGCTCTTGGCCCCGTTGCAGCATTTGGTGTCCCTTTCGCTGCCCGTCGTGGCACCGTTGCAGCCCTTCGTGGCCCCCTCGCTGCCTTTCGTGGCTCCGTTGCAGCCCTTCGTGGCCCCCTCGGTGCCCTTCGTGGCCCCGTTGCACCTCTTCGTGGCCCTGTTGCTGCCCTTCGTGGCCCCGTTGCAGCCCTTTGTGGCCCCCTCGCTGCCTCTCGTGGCCACTTACATATATGCTCTTCGTGGCCTCCGCTCGTTCGCGCCCGTCGTAGCCCCATCTGCATGCGCCTCGCGGCCCCGCTGCTGCCCTTCGTGGCCCCTTCGCTGCCCTTCGTGGCCCCGTTGCTGCCCTTAGTGGCCGCGTCCTTGCTCTCTGCGGCCCAATATACGTGTGCCCTTCGTGGCCCCCGCTCGTTCGCGCCCGTCGCGGCTCATATGCATACCCTCCGTGGCCCCGGTGTCGCCCTTTGTGGCCCCCATCGCTGTCCTACGTGGCCCCGTTGCCACCCTCAGTGGACCCGTCGTTGCCCTGTGTGGCCTCGCATTATCTGCCCTTCGTGACCCCCGCTCGTTCGCGCTCTTCGTGGCCCTACAAGCATGCCCTTCGTGGCCCCGCTGTGGCCCTTCGTGGCCCCCTTCCTGCCCTTCGTGGCCCCGCTGTCGCTCTCGTTCCCGCTCTCGCTGTCGCTCGGCGTCGCCGTCGTCTTCGTCGTCGTCGTCGTGGTCGGTCCCCTGTCCGTCCCTCTTTGGGTCGGGTTGCCGCCGATCAGCGCTGCCGCGGCCAGGCCGACGGTGTGCGGCCGCCCCGCATATCACACCCCCAAAAGGAATGTGACCGAAGACGAAGAGGGCGGTTATCGAGGGTTCGGGAAATACACGTTGGATGACGCTCGAGCAAATAAGAGCGAACAGTATTAACATAATGTTTGTTGTTGTTGCTGTCGTTGTTGAAGTTGATGTTGCTGCTGCTACTGCTTCTGTTGTTGCTGATGTTGTTGTTCATGATGTTGTCGTCGTTAGCGTTGTCGTCGTCGTTGTTGGTGTTGGTGCAAGTGATGATGTTGTTGATGTTGAATATTCATTTCTAAGCAATAATGTTTGTTGATCTCCGGACCGGTTCCGCACGCTCTCGCCTCGACGCGGGCTACATATTCTCTGAAAGCGAGGCTCCTTCTCGAGCGTTGGCTTGAGCCTCAAGGTGGGCCCTTGGAGGCCCATCTACAACAGCAACGGCTCCCGCTAGATACATCCTCACAACTTTCCCCGAGACATCCTGGCCAGAAAGGCCCCAGAATTCATGAACGGCGCTCTCGCTGGAGACCTCCTCGCAATTCAATCAAGTTGGCTGAAGCCCAGCCACGACGACAAGGGCTCCTGGTCGATACTTCCTCGCGATTCACTCCGAGAGCCCCTGCTGCTGTTGTTGCTGCTGTTGTTGTTGGTGTTGTTATTGTTGTTGTTGTTGCGGTTTGTTGTCGTTGTTGTCGTTGTTGTTGCTGTTGCTGCTGATGTTGTTGTTGGTCGTGTTGTTGTTGGTGGTGGTGGTGGTGGTGGTGTCGTTGTTGTTGTTGTTGTTGTTGTTGTTGTTGTTGTTGTTGTTGTTGTTGGTGTTGGTGTTGGTGTTGTTGGTGTTGGTGTTGGTGTTGGTGTTTTGTTGTTGGTGGTGCTGGTGATGTTGTTGGTGTTGTTCTTGTGGTGGTGGTGATGGTTGTTGGCAGTGTTGATGTTGTTTGTGTTGGTGTTGCTGCTGCTGTTGCTGTTGTTGTTGACGAGGACGGGACTCTGGTACCCCGGGCGGAGTTGCGGGGGGGGGGGGGGCGCAACCTCGTAACGCTCGAGCGGGAGCGCCGGGGGGCTGGGTGGGCGCAACAGGGCGGAGGGAAGCGCAGCCAACGGCGCAATTGGGCGGGGGAGGGAGGGTGCAACAGGGGGAGGGAGGGGAGGGAGGGTGCAACAGGGGGAGGGGGCACACTGGGTACGCTCCCTGCGAGCGTTCTGGGGGCGTTCCCTGTGCGCCCTGGGCACGCTCCCTGGAACGCATTTGGATCGCGCTGGTGGAGGCGATGGGGGCGTACTGGGAGCCCTCCCTGGGGTGCATTTGGATCGCGCTGAGGGGGCGGCGCTGGGGGCACACTGGGGGCGCTCCTTGGGGTGCATGTGGAGCGCCCTTCAGGGTGCCATGGGGGCGCCCTGGGAACGGATTTGGAGCGCCCTGAGGCTGCCTTGGGAGCGCTGGAGCGCATTGGGAGCGCTCCTTAGGAACGCCGTGGGAGCGCCCTGGCATCGCCCTGGGCACGTTTCCTGGGAGCTGCGCCCTGTGAGCGCTCCCTGTCCCTGGGAGCGTTCACAAGGCGCCCTGAGAGCGCTCCCTCGAGTGCGCCATGCTGGAGCGCACTGGCTGAAAGGCGCCTTGGCGCAATGAACTTGCGCCCTGGGGGGCTCTCCCTGGAGCGCATTGGGGGAGCCTTGCGATCGCTCCCCGCGTGCCCGTGCGGGCACGCCCTGGCGCGCCCTGCGGGCGCCCTGGGCCCCCCATTGCGTGGGGGCGTCCCGGGAGCGCCCCGGGCGCGCCCCATCCGAGCGCAAGGCGGCGCGTTCAGATCGCGCCGGGTGCACTCCTCTGAACTGGGGGCGCCCTGGGAGCGCTCTGGGATCTCCCTGGGCACGTTTCCTGGGGATTCACTGGGGGCGCCCTGTGAGCGCTCCTTGCGAGCGCTCCCCGTTCTCCCCGGGCGCAATCCCTGGGGCGCCCCAGGGCCCCAGCGAGAGCGCCCTTGGAGCGCGCAGTGATGGTGGTGATGATGTTGATGCTGGTATTGATGATGTTGCTAATGGAGCTGATGCTGATGGTGGTGGTGGTGGTGATGACGGTGAGGATGAGGATTCTGAGGAGGAGGGTGGCGGCCGAACCACGTGAGGCGGCACTCGGTGGTGCCTGCCGTGCCACGTAAGGTCGCCATGCCATCTTGCGTAAGGCCCGCCTCTTTTCGTTGATGGTGATGATGTTGATGGTGATGATGATGACAGTGATGATGTTGATGATGGTACTGATGGTGTTGCTGATGGTGGTGATGCTGATGGTGGTGGTGGTGGTGATGACGGTGAGGATGAGGATTCGGAGGAGGAGGATGGCGGTTGAACCCCGTGAGGCGGCATTCGGTGGTGCTTGCCGTGCCACGTAAGGTCGCCATGCCATCTTGCGTAAGGCCCGCCTCTTTTCGTTGATGGTGATGATGTTGATGGTGATGATGGTGATGATGGTGATGATGTTGATGCTGGTACTGATGATGTTGCTGATGGTGCTGATGCTGATCGTGGTGGTGGTGGTGACGGTGAGGATGAGGGTTCGGAGGAGGAGGATGGCGGTTGAACCCCGTGAGGCGGCATTCGGTGGTGCTTGCCGTGCCACGTAAGGTCGCTATGCCATCTGGCGTAAGACCCGCCTGTTTCGTTGATGATGGTGCTGGTGATGCTGATGATGGTGATGATGTTGATGCTGGTACTGATGATGTTGCTGATGGCGCTGATGCTGATCGTGGTGGTGGTGATGACGGTGAGGATGAGGGTTCGGAGGAGGAGGATGGCGGTCGAACCCCGTGAGGCGGCATTCGGTGGTGCCTGCCGTGCCACGTAAGGTCGCTATGCCATCTGGCGTAAGACCCGCCTGTTTTCGTTGATGATGATAATGCTGGTGATGCTGATGATACTTACATTGGGAACCTTGCTGTTTCCTTTCCAGCAGCTTCTGGTGGTCCTGGTTGCGCGGTTGCGGTTGCGACCCCCCCTTCGCAATTAGGGAGCAGTGTACCAGTAACGCGTCCTCGCCAGCAGGGGAGGCTGGGGATCTGGTACCCTGCCCCAGGGGTACCAGATACCCGTCCTCGCCTTGTGGTTGCTGCTGTTGCTGCTGCTGCTGCTGTTGTTGCAGTTGTAGTTCAAGGGCCAAGGGCCCAGTCTGAGCCTCATACCCCTGACGAAACATAAGACAGGCTGCGAGCCCCGAAGGGGCCACGTCGACTGAAGCAACACGATGGGCACGGGATGAGGGCAGCAGCAACCCTTTTGCCTCAGAAGGAGGGGTCCACCAACAGTAGCAAATCATTTCCAGGATGTTTTTCTTGAGGTCTGGGTCTGTGCCAGGGCTGCACCTAAGCGGTGTTTGTGGCGATTTTTGGCGATCTCGTGGGCCGTTTTCGTTTCGACTTCGTTTTGCGGGAAAGGCGGATTCGAGACAAAAGCGAGGGAACACGATAACGAAACGAAACCGAAAAGCACCGGTCAGGTTCGGCCCTGCCGTGCTGCTTCTCTCCGAGGAGGTGCGGGCGGGGCGCGTGGAGGAGGTGCGGCTGCCGGCGGTGCACCCGAGCCTGGAGGCCCCGCCGCCCTGGCGGGCCGCCGAGCTCCTCGGGCCCTACCGCCTGGAGCTGGCGCTGCACTGCCGCGTCTACGAGCTGGCCGTGCCCTGCAGGACCGTCGACGACGCGCAAGGCAAGCAGGGGCGGAGCGTCCTGGCTCGTCCAATAGCCCTACCAGGCACCGCCCTAAGAACCTCGTGGTGGTTGCCACGAACTGTTCCTAGAACCTTTCTGGCGGAGCCTGTCTTGTTGTATGGCATCGGGCTTATGTTCTAAGAACACTGTTCTTGTTCTTAGACCATGCTCGGGTTCTAAGAACATGTCGTGGTAGGACTAAAGGAAGCCAGGACGGTCGGTCCCTGCTCAAGTAAAACTGACCCTTCGCCGCGCACCAAAGGTCCCCTTACCAAGGGTCCCCTTACCAAGGGTCGCTCTTGTGTGTACGGCAGCGGAGCGACGTGGAACAGCGACCACCAGCCCTGGCCAGGCACTTCTGGGCCCTGGATCGGTGTACGGACCTCCTGACCTGGGCCAGGAAGGTCTGAACACCAGTCCAGGGCCCACGATAGGCCTGGCCAGGGCTTCTGGTGGTGTTCTTGGTGTTGTTCGTGTTTGGGTGTTCTTGGTGGTCTTGGTGCTCGTGGTCTCCTTGATGTGTGGGTGCTGTGGGTTTCGTGCCTGGGTGTTTTTGGTGGAGATCTCGGTGTTCTTGGTGTTCTTTGGAGCCCTCCTGGCGTTCTTCGCGTCTGGGCTCCCCACCTTGGGCTGGTCTTCTTCTCGGGCATCCATCCCCAATGGGGCCCTCGGCCCTCGACGAAGGGGCCGCTGCTCTTGACCTCGCGCTCTTGTGGCCCCGGCTCGACTGCACGATGCACCGCGGCCCTTCCCTCGCCCTGGCCGGTGCGGGCCTCCTGGGAGGCCCTCGTCGCCACGAGTAGACTTGCCTCCGAACCTCCTGGGCAGAACGCACCCCAGGACCCAGGAGAGGTCCGTGGAGTAGCCGCCTCGGTGTCTGTTGGTTTCCCCGTGATCGCCTCGTAGATCGGCGTCACGCCGGGAGGGAGGGCAGAGGGGGCGTGCCTTCTCTGAAGGCTTTGAAGGCGTCTGGCCTTCAAGGAAGTCTCGTCAGCCTTCCCCGAAGACGCAACAGGGCTTCTCGGAAGGCCGGAGGGCTTCTGAGAAGCCCCGCCGCCTTCTGGGAAGGCCTGCCCCCTCCTACTTCCTCCTTCGGCGTGCCGCCGAGCGGATCCTGGCCAGGCCCATGCTGGCCCCGGATCAAGGAAGGTGGTCAGTTGACGCCCGCCGACAGGAGGAGGCGAGACTCGTTCTTCCGCACGCTGCATTCGGTGGGCCCCGTCGTGCAGGAACCGCCGCGAAGGGAAGGGCGTCCTGAGGAGAACGGGTGCCAGAGGTCTGTCGCCGTCTTCGGCCTCTAGCCCCCCCCTTTTCTTTTGGCTCCGTGACCCTCAAGAAACAGGCAGTCTTTCTTCTATAGGAGGGGGTGGGCCTGGCGAGGCTCGAAAGGAAATCTGGACTTCGCGCAAGGCGGGTCTCACTCGCACGCCTTTTTGAAAAAGGTCTGAAGAGGCGGCGAGGGGGGAGTCGGGGGGATCGAAGGCCATGCGAGTCAACTTGCCTGAGTCTGACACCGAACTCGTCCCACGGGAAAGCCCCATTCGGTCCAGAAGCCGCTTCTTGGCGGCGCGCACAAAGGGCGTCGTGAAGGTGGGCGGCCCTTTGAGAAGTCGGGGGGGTGGGGTGGATTCTTTGAAGGCGTCTGGCTTCGTAGAAGCCCTCCCGGCTTCCGAACAGCCTTGTGAGAAATCTCCAGCTTGGACGCCCGAAATGGGTACGGAGATTTGAGTCAACGCCCAACCCCATAGGTTGTTCAACACCGGCAACATCCGCTGTTGGGCAGGCGGCCTTCTGTCTCAAATGGGCACGAGAGCGAACCCGATTCAAAACAAACAGGGCATGTCGACGGTCTTCGTAACCTTGTCTTTCCATAAGCTATCTGATCGCACCGATCCAGACCTTTCTAAGAGGCCCCTCGCCGTTTCAAAAGACCGCACCCTTCGCGACACCCCCTTGCCGTGCGCGCCGCCAAGGAACGGCCCCCTGGCGCCAAGAACACGTTTCCCCTCAGGACCCCACTCCAAGCATCCGATAAGTAGCAACCGGCACGGATAAGAGTGAGGGGGCCGGCGCGGGTTGGGTCGCGGTTGGGTCGCGGGGTGGGTTGTGGGATGGGTCGCGGGTGGGTCGCGAGTGGGTCGCGGGCGAGGGCGACAACAACACCAACAACAACAACAACAACACTAAGTTTACGATTGTTCGCTATTATTTGTTCGCGTGCCGTGCGTGGGTGCAGGGGGGAGCCAGTGCGCGTGTCACATCTGTGACGTTCCACAGACGCTGCGTGAGCGCGCGACCGCGAGCGACTGCACACGGCTGTCGTTTCTAGTAAGGGCGTCGTCGTAGTTCGGACATCGCTGCCCCTCGCAGCGAGTTCAAATAATCAAGGAAACTACAGATTTGTTTAATATTTTCCTCTATTGTAGAGTAGGCGGCCGCGGCTGCGGCTGCGCGGCTGCGGACCAAGTGTGGGAGGTACGGTTCGTGCGTCCAGGAGTGGGCCGCAGCCTCGATAAGGCAAATGCTTGAGCCCTTGTTGCAAACTGTTCCTGAACCCCCCGCCCACGGCAACTTCCAAATGAAACAGTGGAAGGTTTTTTGGACATGCAGGAGGAAGAGAAAGGGCCTTGGGAAGGGGGCTGGAGGGAATGTCCTATTCGATTGAACGGATGCCGCTTGGCCAAACGCAGTGGTGTCTTGGGCGTGGCTGCTCTGCAAAACGGCTCGGGCGCGTTGCTGGCGCCCCAGGGGACCCTGAAGTTCCAAAAAGTTTATGGTGCGTTTCCGCGTGACTCTTTCGACTTTCCACGACCAAGTTTTCAAGCTTCCGCGCGACACAAACTGTTCATGGCGGGAACAAATGTATGTTGGCATTTGTTGTGTTTGCACTTGTCGCGCAACATAAGCGTTTGGCTGCCTGGCTTCAGGGAAACATCGAGTTTGTCCCTGGCCAGTGCCGGTCCAAGTCGATCGGTCGCAGGAAGATGCGTCTTCAACGGTAGGACTGCCCCACCGACCCTCAGAACAGCGCCACGCTGAGGAGGGGCTCTTGGTGAGCGAATTGCGAGCACACGGGCCCTGGAAGCGTCATGCCTAGATTCCTCCCCCCCACCATCATTATATTTTTCCTCCATCTCCCTTCCATTATTTTGAGGTCGTTGCGCCCCATGTTTCGGATCCGTTTCCGTTTCCTTCCTTTTCTTCCATTTCTCGATTGCCATTTGGTTTTCGCCCACTCTTGGGCTTGTCGGCTGCTCCTGTTTCCCATGGGCTGGGGCGCGCACACTTTCCGATTTGCTCTTGCGTCGCGTTCGAGCAACTCCCGCGCCCAGGCTTTCGGGCAGCAGCGGTGCGTTCGCGCCAAATGGCCCGCCAGAGGTATTTGCTACGTTGATTCCCCAAGCAGAGCTTGCTTATGTAAGGGGTTCTAGCGGATCCATATGCCCTGGTGAGGTGTGTCACCGAGTTCCGCGACTCGCCCGGGTGCCAGGGTGCTTTATAGCCCTATAGCCCCTTTATGTATATGTATGTATATATATACATATATATGTGTAGCCCAATAGCCTAGGAGCCCCGTAGCCCTATAACCTTATAGCCCTGTAGCCCTATAGCTCTATAGCCCTATAGTCTTATAGCCCTATAGCCCCATAGCCCTATAGCTTTATAACCCAATAGCCTTATATCCCCGTGGCCCATAGCCCAATAGCCGTGTATCCCTGTAGCCATATAGCCCTATATCCCCACAGCCTTATAACCCTATAGCGCTATAACCTACTAATCCTATAGCCCTACAACCCTATAACCCTATAGTTTTATATATATATATACACATATCCATATGCCTATAATTATAGTGCCCCATAACCCTATAGTCCTATGGTCCTGTAGCCGTATAGCCCCGTAACCCTATACATTCCTAGCCTTATGGCCTTGTAACCCTATAGCCCGGCGCCAACACCCCGTAGCCTGGCAACTCCCTAATTCGCTGTTTTGTAGGAGGCCATTTCGTATAAAAACTCTTCCCTCCACCCTAACACACAAGCTTCCTCCTCCCCCGCCTCTAGGTGTGCCCCCCCCCACCCCCCACCCCTCGGCGAAGGGCTTCTCTCTCCCCTGCCACTCAGCAAAGAACAGCTCGCCCTTCCCCCATCGAGCTCGTTCCCCTCTTCCGCCCCACGATCATGCTCGCCGCCGCCCGCCCCCCTCCCCTCCCCCCCCCCCGCCCGCCCTGGAGGGGCCCCCCTGCCCGAGCGCGCCACTCAATATATCGGCAAAGCCGCTCCAGCAGCAGCGCCGGCGACGGGCCGCTGGGCCTCCTCCTGGCGGGGCCCCCGCGGCGCAAGACAGAGGGCAACGGGCGAAGATAAGCAGGGGTGGTAAGGGCCGTCTGGGCATGGGCGAACACGCAGAGACGGAAGTGGGCGGGGGGGGGGGGTCGGGGCAGGCGGGCAAGGGCGAGAGGGCGACGACGACGAGGACTAGAGAGAGCATGACACTGCCGTGGAGGGTAGCACTCGCGTTCAGAATGGGACGGAGGATACATATACAGTGCAATCTAGGTAGTGCAACCAATGTGGTGCAATCTAGGTGGCGCAATCAATGTTGGGCAATCTAGTTGGTGCAATCCATTTGGTGTAATATATGTGGTGCAATCCACGTGGTGCAATCTATGCGCTGTGAGCTATGTTGAGAACAATGTCGTGCAATTAATCACTTGCCGAACTTGAAGTTGTCAACTCCACTGCTCGCGCAATCGTCGCACCCACCCACCCGCAACTTGGTTTGCAAAACCCACGCGGGACCGAGCACAGATATCGCTCTGGGGTCGTCTTGGAGCCCTCGGGAGAAGGCCAGAGAAGCAAGACGGCCGACGACGACGACGACGACGACGACGGCGGCGACGACGACGCCGACGTCGACGACGAAGACGATGACGCCGACGACGACGACGAAGACGACGACGACGTCGCCAACGAAGACGACGACGAGGGAGGAGGGAGGACGACGACGGCGACAACGACGACAATGACGACAACGACGACAACGAGGGAGGAGGGAGGACGACGACGCGAACGACGAAGAAGGAGGAAGGACGGCGACGCCGACGACGACAACGACGAGGGAGGAGGGAGGACGACGACGAGACGACGACGACAACGAGGACGACGACGGCGACGAAGTAGGAGGGACGACGACGAGACGCCGACGACGGACGACGACGACGACGACGACGAGAGAGGAGGAGGAAGGACGACCACGGCGACAACGACGGAAACGACCACGTCGCCAAAGAGGACGACGACGACGAACACGAGGAAAGACACATGACGACGTAGGCGACGACGACGACGACGACGGCGCGGGAGGAGGGAGGACGGCGACGACGACGACGACGACGACGACGCCGCAAGAGCGCGCGTGCACGCTTTTGTTGAAAATCCGTGTTGCGAAACCTTGTGTTTTTGTAGGTTTTTTTTGGACGCGCGATTTTGGAATCCTTCCGAAACCGACGGGTTTTGGAGGATTTCGGCGTACGCGCGCGACGACGCGCTCGCCTGCACTTCGTCCCATTCTTTGCAGAGGATTCTCTCGACGGCGCACGCGCAAGGGCGTTCGACAGATTTCGACATTCGCGCGCGACGCCCGTTTGGTAGCATGTTGTGAAGATCTGGAGGAACCAATGGTTTTCTTAAGATTTCGCAAGAGCTCGCGCGTGAGCTTTTTTTGCAAGTCAGTGTTACGACACCCTGTTTTTTCGTATGTTTTTTGGAAACTCGATTGCGGAATCCTTCCGGCCCCCAAGGTTTTTGGAGGATTTCGGCATGCGCGCGCGACGACGCGCGCGTGTGCACTCCGTCCCATTTTTTGCATGAGATTCGTGAACATGTGTTGTGTTAGAGCAGAATATGTCACCGCATAGTGTTTTTTACAAGTGAACCTCGGGGGGGGGAACCCGGCCCCCCAGGGATAGTGTAAAATCATAGTCAGGATGGACATGTGGTCACAATCAGATGTGATTTACACACCCGAAAGGGAGACCGGTAACGCCGGGGGGGGGTAGAGTCTATTCTCTGTTTGGAATAGATGTAGTGTAAGCAGTGTGGCGCAACCGATGCTAAGCAGCACATGTTATGCAATCCTTCTTGCGCAGACGAGGGGCGGCGAAGGACGTTGACGGGGCCACCACGGCGGGAGGCGACGTGGCCACCACAAGGCGGCGGAACCAACAGTCAGACCCAGTTCCTGAGGAGGCAAACAAGAACCCCCGAGTGCAAGCCCTGTTCGGGGGGTGCACGTATCGCATTGTTTGATATCGTTCTCTGCCAGCAGGAGGTGCTCGACCTCCTCGCCGAGCGCTGGCGGCCCCGCGTCGCGACGCTGCGGCAGGCCGCGGACGCCTTCCACATGGAGTCGCCGCCCGCCTCCCCCGAGGACCGGCTGCTGCTCCACTTCGAGGTGGTGTCTGAGGGCTTCCTGAGGGGGTTGACGACTCTTCTCCAATCGACTTGCGGCGATCGCCAAAGGAGACACAAGGTACAGTCGAGCCAGATGAGTAGACCGACCCTGCCAAACCAAGAGTGCTCTCTTGTCCTGTGTGTGTTCGCGACACATGCCTTCTACATTATTGTGGCAATGTGGCCCTCGGAAGGGTCTTGTGTCCTCTCGCGTGTCCTCTGCAATCAATCCCGACTGTACCGGAACAACTAATTACCCCTGCCTCATTTTCGCCACCTGGGGCCTCCTGGGAGAGCCTCGTCGCCACGGCTGGCTTGGCCTGGAAATGCTGGCCGGAGCGCAGCACAGGAGAGGTCCAAGAGAGGCGGTATCGGTATCTCTTGGCTGCCCCAGATTAAGCGCAACGTATCGAGGTAGATCGAGACAGATCCAGATACATCGAGTTCTTCACCAAGAGCCGTCGAGGCAAACCCAGAGATCCCAGGCAAGACTGGACAATTCGCGCGAGCTCCAGCGCGAGTTCAGGCGCAGCAGACGTCGTTGAGCCCCTATCGCCAATTGGTCGCCGATAAGGGCTGGATGGCCCCCCCCCCGCCCAGGAGCCTGTGGGTTCGATATCGGAGTACCATCGCCGACCTATCGGCGACGTAATTCTCGCCAAGTCCAGCTTCGTGTGTGTCCCTCCCTTCTGAGCTGGTCCCCGGCGCGCCGCCACCCTGGCCACCCTGGCGCTGCCCCCGGCTTCAGCGCCGCTGGCGGTCGCTGGCCCGGCGGCCGCGGCTTTGCGCTGGCCACTGCGGCGGCTGCTCTCCTGCGCCGTTTCAGTTTCGTGAGTTTCACTGCTTCCTGTCATTCGCGCGATGTGGAGACCCGGTGAGATCTGGGGCCGCTCGAACACGTATCATGTCATGGCACTCGCCCCCATCAGCCGAAAAGGTAGGTGACCGAACAACAATCGGTGACCAAAAACGTGCCCGAAGTTGTGACCAGACCGAAAATGTCGTGTGACCGAAAATGCGACCGAAGTTGAAGATCTCTTTTGGTTTCGAGGCAAATGTTTCGGTCACACCCCGGCGCGGTCGAAAATGTTCGGGCGCAGGTTTCGGCCACACCCGGGCAGAGTTTCGGGAACAGTCTCGGCCACAACGCCTCCCTGATTGAGACTATAGGCTACGTGGCGTATCTTTCCTGGCCCGAGCGTTTCTGTTCCGAAATCCTCGGCTCACACTTGCGTTGCCTTAAGTCGGGCCCGTCCCTCGACAGGGGGAATATTCAACGATAGTCCAAAAATAGTCAGGGGACATTTTTTTCTAATGTTTTTTTGACCATTTGAGAAATTGTTGGAGTATGTTTTATTTGTTCGTCCAAAATCTCCCTGTAGGGGCACAGGCCCGACGTAACACTGGCGTTGCCCCTCGGAGGTGGCCGCGGGCGCGGACGCCGTGGGCCCCCCGCCCGCTGCCGCGACGGCCTCCCGCGACCCTCGGGCCTGGCTGCGCGGGCGGCGCGCCGCCAGCGTGGTGCACGCGGTGGACCACGGCCTGGGCCTCGCCAGCGCCGCCCATCGAAGAGGAACGGTCGGCACAGGCCCTGGTCGGCAGCCAGACATGACCCCGTCGTAGAACAATCAGGACGGAGGTTGTTCGCCGTTCTCGGCCTCTGGAGGCCCTCGCCGGGCCCCAGGACCGTCAAGAAACGACTCAGATTGAAGAACCGGCCCCCGGGATTTCCAGGGACGCCGTCCTGAACAAATCAGGACGTCGCATGTCTGGGCCAGCGAGCGAGGGGGGGAGGGAAGTGGGAAGGAGAAGGCCTTCGTCTCGGGCGGAGGGGCTTCTCAGAAGCCCTCACGCCTTCTGGGAGGTCTTCTGTGCCTTCGGGGGAAGGCTCCGAGAACTTCTCCTCAGAAGGCCGGCGGACTTCCGAGCCTTTGAGAAGGCCCGCCCCTTCTCACTTCCCCCCCCGGGCTCGCCGTCGACCTGGAAGTCCTGGGCGTTGCAGCGTTCTCACTCCGAGCGCTCCTGCCCGGTTTCGGACCCCGAGATCATCGCAGATGGGTCCGGCTAGCGACGTGCCGCTCTCAGATGGGGTCTAGACCTGTGGAGGACGATCACTGGAGAGGAAGCGCGTTTCCAAAGAATTCCCAGATGTCTAAAACATGTGTTAAACATGTAAACAAATTTAAAAACACATGTTTGAGCCATGTTTAGAACACTTTTCCTACATTTCAAACACATTCTAAATTCAATGATAGGACTGTTAGGATGTCCATTGTCGTGGCATCCACAAGTCTAGAGCTCCGGCTGCTTTTCCACCCGATGTTGGCAAGTGTTCTCCTGACGTCGGATCTCAGGGAACACCCGGGAGGGACATAGAGTATACATACGACTCGCGCGCCGTCTGCCAAGCTAAGCGTGTTACCCATTCATTCTTCCGTGCAGAGGTCTGGCGCTTCTTCACCAGTACCTCACGCGGCTGGGTTCGTCTGACCAGCGTTTATTTTTGTCCCCCGATTTCGGGGGCCCGCGCAAGTTTCTTGGGTCGGCGCGACACTTCCCATTGGCGGCCTCTCCGGCGCCGCCCCTGGCCTGCTCCCCGCACTTAGGTAGGTGTGCTTGTGTGTGCAGCGCATCCGCGCGGACCCCCGCAATCGGAGGAGGACAGATCCACCTCGTCCTTCCCCCTCCCTCTTCCAGGGAGGACGGAGACAGTGGGAGGAGGGGAGGGGCTGGGAGGAGGAAGGTGGCCCTGCATATACGAAAGCGTTGCGCCTGTGCCGGTTCTTCCTCTTCTGCCCCGGACGTGCGAGCGCGCGAAGGGCTTGGCCCAGGACTCGGAAACCCTCCAAAGAGCGGTGCGGTGACCACACCGCAGTGACGAACCGGGTGGGAACCTCGGGGTGGCCGCAGGGTGTTGGGACTCGGGGTCGCCCTCCGAGGACGCCTCGGGCGATTGGGGCCTGCAGGGTGCCGGGGCCGTGCGGTGAGGTCTCGGCGGCTCCCTCAACGGGGCGGCGAGGAGGGTGGGCTTCTAAGGAGTCGGCGGGGCTCTGAGAAGGCACGGGGGCTTCGTGGAAGCCCGCCGGGCTTCTAAGAGGCCTTCATAGAAGCCTCTGGGGCCTTCCAAGAATGTTCCTGCCTCCCGAGGAGCGCCTTCCGCTTCCTTAAAAGTCCACACCCCTTGCGCCACCCCTTTGTGGGCACCGCCGATCGAGAGGTCTTTTGGGATTCCGAGGTCACCGCACGGTGTCACCGCACCGTCCCCAGACTCTGAACGCCATGATGTTTTCACAACGTCGACCCCCAGAGGTCAGGAACATTTCCCCAGGATCGCAGTAGTTGTTGTTTGGTTCTTGGGCCCCGACGAGGGCCCGCAGAGGCCGAAAAGCGCCCAACATCTCCCGCCGTGTTATTCCACTACCTTGTGATGAGGTCTGGGTTATGGCCCTTCCGAAAGACGCAGCCCCAGAGGTCTCAGAGGTCCCGACCTCTCCCCCATGGATGCTTTTGCATACTGTATCTATTTTCGACAGTCCCGTGACCCAACGACCCGCCACCGAGGCTGAAATCCAGGAAGAGTGCCAGGATTGAAACAGAAGTTCGTCAGATATGCCAGGGAACACAATGGCACCGGTACCGTCACTCCTCTGGCCTCTCCCGGGGTGCGTCCTCACCAGAATCCCAAACATAATCCAGCCGTTGCAGCGAGGGCTCTCCAGGACGAGCAGCGGATGGAGAAAATAGCAACCACAATCTCCGCCATGATTTTTCTCGACGCGAGGGGGTTTGCTTTGTGGACCTCCCCAGAGGACGCTGGGCGCGGAGCGCGCGCGCTGATCGTCCAGGCAGTGCCAGGGCGCCCCGGCGAGGACGCCGCGATGCCCCCGCCCGGCGAGGACGACGCGGACCTGCTGCTGGTGGGGCCGCAGGCGGTGGACGTGCCGGCGTGGGTCTGCCTGCAGGAGCCGAAGATTGCCATGAATCGGGACGATCGAGATGGGTACGGAAAAAATGGGTGCAAAGACCGACAGCAGTTCCTGTTCATCTTGAACCGGACTCGTTGACGGTGTCGTTGCGGACTGGTGTCCATTGGAGACATAATGCCGTCAGCCCCATAGCGGCCGCTGTCGGTTTGGGGCAACATTTGTTGTTGGGCATTGTACCCGTTTTTGCCGTACCCATTTCGGGTGTCCAAATGGAATCGAAGGGGCTTCCTGACCCCGAGATATATCCTGGCATTGCTAACTTTTTCGCACGGGGCGTGTTCGTGTGGTTTCGGGCCCAGGGGCTGCAGGTCGATCCGGCTTGGCAAATACCACAAGAAGATGGGGTCTTGTGTTCTTGTCGTGATTTAAATGTTTAACCATGCGGATTTGTTTCATGATGTCTAATCTCAGGGAATGGGTCTTGGGAGACTCAGCAGAGGAAGAGATACGGACAACGTTGCCCTCCCCTCGTCGCCACAGCTGGATTCGCTTTTAAATTCGTGTCAGAACGCACTGATGAGAGCACTGCGTGTAGGCGTGAAGCAAATGCAGCTCTTCGACGATGTGGTTTGTTCATTATGGGCTATTTTCTTCGACTTGTGCAGCACAGCAAGGCTCCCCCACAGAAAGTATACACCACAAAAGGGTTCAGGAACGGGGCGGTCTGACAAAAGTCCTGGCACGCGAGTCGATGAATTAGAACGATGTGCAAATCTCAGAGGTCCGCGCGGACATCTTGGATCCGCGCTGGCTGGATCCCTTTCCCTGGGTGCGCAGAGCGCGTCAGAGGGCGGCGCTGAAGGTGCCGCTGGTGGGCGTCCGGCGCCGGCCCAAGAATTCGCGCGGATATCTAGAGGTTTTGTGTTTGCGTTTCCTCGAAGGAGCTGCGGCAGGGCTGGCGATACTCGCGCGTGGTCCACCAAAATTCCAGTCGGGAAGTCGTGGGGATGGCTCTGAGTCGTCGTGCTGGACCTCAGGGTGTCATGCGGTGGCCGCCTCCCATCCACTTCCTGACTCGCCCCTCCCCTCCCTAGATGGTGGTGATGGCGACGGTGGTGATGGTCATGATGATGTTGATGATGATGATGATGATGATGATGATGATGATGATGATGGTGATGGCGATTGTGATGATGATGATGACGAATAGGATTCTGATGATGACGATGAAGCTGATGATGCTGATGATGGAAGATGGTGATACTGGTAGTGATGGTAATGATGATGATGCTGATACTGGTGATGATGGTGATGGCGATGGTGATGGTGATGGTGAGGGTGATGATGATGATGAGTATGAGACGATGATGATGGTAATGATGATGATGAAGGTGATGATGATGATGGTGATTGGTATTGTGATGGTGATGGTGATGAGGGTGCTGATAGGATGATGATGAGGGTGATCATGGTGACGGTGCTGATCATGATTATTGTGGTTGAGGTGAAGCTGATGATTGTGGTGTTGATGGCGAGATGACGATGTCGATGATGATGGGGAGGAGGAGGAGAGGGACGAGGATCAGAGCAAGGGGAAGGGAGCTCGGCGGGTTAGAGGGTGCTGGTGCTTCTTGGCAGGGGGGGTTCGCCAAGGAGATTGCCGAGCAACAAAGGGGAGGACGAGGAGAGAAGAACAACATGGGGTGCGTACAGTCGGGTCGCTGAAGAAGGAACCCTTTTCGTTGGGGAGGGGCTCCGTGTTCCTTAAGTGTTTCACAGCTTGCCTCAGGTTTTACTCATGCTTCCGATGGGAAATCGAAGTGTAACTTATGGGAAAAAAGGGTCTCGTTCCTTATTTAGGGTTCCTTAGGTCAACGCCCCGATTGTAGCGAGCTCATGATGGCGCCTCCTGTCCAAAACCATGCCACTCGCCGCTCGCATGGGCGCCCTCCGCGCGGAGTGCAAACCACGAGCGCTCTCCAGGCCATGGGGGTGCCCCTGGAGTGAGCTGCCGGCCCGTCCGTGCTGCCGCGGCAGAGGCGACGCCCGGCGCCGTGGGCTGTTCAGCATGGGGGGAGCTAGGGTCGGGGGCGGCAAAGAGGGGGGTGATGACTTGGGGGGGGTGGATATCATGGCGTGGGCCATGATATTTCCCCAGATTTCGTGGACCCTCTTCTCATTCCCATACGTCCCCAACGCCCCCCCTGGGCTGCGCACATGCCGACGGCCTTGATGTGCGGCCCCCTCCCCCCCTCTTGGACGCCCCCCTCTTGGCCGCCCCCGACTAGGGGAGGAAGAGCAAGAGGAGAGGGATCAGCGTGCTGAGGACGAGGAGCATGGTCACGAGTGGCAGCAGCATGCGTGAGGGAGGAGAAGGGAGGGAAGACGACAATGACGGCGAGGACGAGGAGGACGAGGAGGCCAAGGCGGAGTTGGAGGCGACGAGTCGTTGGTGTAATCGGGGTCTCGGGAAGAGTCCGTGCGATGATTGGAGCGGTTCCAAACTTCGCGCCATTGCATCTGAGGGGTGGGTCGAGGGTCAGGCTCGAGGATGCCGCAGGAGTATTTCTGACGAGGGTGGCCGATAAGTCAGTAGGAATAGGGGAGGTATCAGGCCAGAACCAAAGATGGGACAGCCGCCCCAACCTCCACAGTCGGCGCTTCATGAACAGCACTGGTCTTATGCTAACCGATCCTGGCCTGTTATATAGATTGATTCCTCGGATGCGTTTGCCGACAGGCTTTGCTTGCATTGGTGCTTCTTGTGAGGGGGGCTCTTTCGCCCCCGAACAGCATGAGCTGACAGCTGACACCCATGCCCGTACGAGCCCCAGATCTCCAGTGGTGGATTTCCAGGAGGGGGTCGATGGGCGTGCGTTGACGGACGGGGGGCCCCCGCTCGAACGGGAGCCGCCCATCGGGGGCCGACAGTTCGCACCCCCTGCCCGCAGCGTCTGCATCGCCTTGCCCTTCCGCGCTCCTCCTGTCTGTATAGGTTTGAGTGTGTGCTTCTCCCCCTCCTCCTCCTCCTCCTCCTCCTCCTCCTCCTCCTCCTCCTCCTCCTCCTCCTCCTCCTCCTCCTCCTCCTCCCCCCTTTCCTCCTCCTCCTCCTCCTACTCCTCCCTTTCCTCCTCCTCCTCCTCCCTTTCCTCCTCCTCCTCCCTTTCGTCCTCCTCCTCCTCCTCACAGGTCGGCGGCGCGCCCTGGGGGGGGGCACGTGCGAAGAAGCGGGCCTTCGCGGAAGGCGACAGGGCTTCTCGGAAGCCCTCTGGACTGAGGGGAGGAGGAGGAAGAGGAGGAGGAGGAGGAGGAGGAGGAGGAGGAGGAGGGAGGAGGGAGGAGGAGGAGGAGGAGGAGGAGGAGGAGAGCAGCTCTCCGTGCCGTCGGGGAGGGTCCAGAAGACTTCGTCAGAAGGCCGGGGGCAGGCCTGCAGAGCCTTCGACAAAAAGCTCGCCGCGTCCCCCCTGGGCGCGGCGCCGATATTTGAGGCGGTCCTGGGGGCACCAAGAGACTGTTTTTTTATTGTCGGGCGATAGCCCAGGATACATTTCACGTTGCCGGTTGTACAGGTCCGCGGGAGGGGGGGGTGCGGGCATATGCAAGCCTGCCAGCGCGAGGGTCAGGTTATCGGCCTGTACCCTCCTCCCTCCACCCCCAAGGATAGCCCGGGTTATCGCCGATTCATATTAAAAACGGTCTACAACAAAAACCGATGCCGCCCTTCCCTGGACCTCTTGGGTCTTGGGGTGCATTCTGACTAGCCTTTCGAGGCGAGGCCAGTCATGGCGACGAGGGCCTCCCAGGAGGCCCTCTCCCCGGGGTTCGCCACCATGCAGAGCCCTCGGGTCTCAATGCAACCCAGGGTCAGTCAGAGCGCCGGATCTTGCAGGGTCCTGCCGAGCCAGGGGTGCATTGACCCGGCCTTGGGTGCAGGATCCTGCAAGATGTTGCATGGTTTTGCAAAGTTTGGCTGGCCCGTTTCTGGATTGACCCAGGTCAGTAGATCTCCGAAGCCTTGGCGCGCGGCGCAAGGCGCGCCGCGCAAGGATTGCAAGGGGTGCGCCACAGAATGGGCGCGGAGCGGAAGGGGCCTGGCCCCGGTGCGCCGCCCGCGGAGGCCGTGCCGACCGCGCGTGTTCGGGGCCCCACGTGGTTGGCCGTTGGACCCCCTGGTCCTCTTCCTCCTCCTCCTCCTCCTCCTCCTCCTCCGCCGCCTTTTCTTTCTCTTCCTCCTGGTCGGCGTGGGAGGCTCAGGCACTTTGAGATCCGACGGAACGAGGATTTGTTGGACATTTCTCACGCGACGACCGCCCAGCAATCGCACGGGCCAGAGAGGGAGCTATGGGGGCATGGCAGGTGGATGTCGATTACAGTGCCCCCCTGTGTGCGCGTTGATGGAACTGGTGCTCTATGAGCCGCTGGCGGCGAATACCACGGACAAGCTGGAAGAAATTTGTAGTGCTCTACGAGAGCTTGATGCGATTGCGCTGACAGGGGCCCATCGGTGGGCTGGGCCAGAGCCGATGACGACGAATCATAGATACTATACGGAGGTCCAGTTCGGGGCAAAGAAGGACGCATTGATCAACGTGTCACGTGGTACGACGCTTCTGTTATCAGGCGACACGATGAAACACCAGGCCTTCCACGCGCAGTACACACCTCCTTCGCAACTGCATGGAAGAACGGCAGAGGTTAGGCTGCGCACGAGAGCATGCGACGTCACAATATTCGCGATGTATTTCCCGCCAGGTAGAGGGTACGCAAACAATGAGATGCTCTCGAGAAGCCATGAAGTGGGTGGGAGAGAGGCGCGACGACATGGGTGGCAGATCTACTATCGTAGTTGGAGGGGGCATCTGGGGGTAAGCAAGCACACTCTGGGCAAACACGCAGCGGAAACTGGGGCCAGTTGCCAAGGAGGTGGCGAACGATAGTGGAACATGTTTCTGGGTGCTTTGTGTGTCACAGCAAATTGTCACTTGTCACGACATCCATCGATCGCGGGCCCACCTGCGACTGCGCGAAGGACGAGAATATGAAAACCGAGAAAGGTAGACCACGTAGCGATACCGTCTGGGGCTTTACCCCATGTGCGGAGGCGCGCTGCATTGAGAGGAGTGGCGAAGAACTTACAGAAGAGAGAAGCGAGAGGACACAGGGGCCATGCTTCTTGGGGCATGGATATTGGAGTGGAACATCAACTTCATTTCCAGGTAGGCATCGACTGCAAAGAGCAGACGAGGAAGTGGGCCGCAACGACCCGATGGAACGCCTGGGAAAAAGGGCGCCTGAGGACGAAATCATTGAGCGCGTTCGGCCGCCACCTGCAGGTCGCCCAGCCACTGTAGCGAGGAGGGGCATTAGCGAGGTGTTCTCGGAGTGCGCCCCAGGCTGATCCTTCAGCATTCCGAGGAGATGCATTAGCGACGTTCTCTCGAAGTGCAACCCAGGGGGGGGGGTCTAAGGGCCAAAGAAGAATGGAGACGCCTCCAGGAGCGCCCCGCGGCGGACCAGGCGTGGAAGAAATAGGGCGAGGCGGGCGGGGATGCCATGGCATGAGTTGCCCGAATCATAAAGAAGCACGAGGACAAGGCGGTGGCCGCCTTCCAGTCACTACGGCGCTCCCTGCCGGCAGTAAGGGATGAAGTTACGAGTGGCCATGGCGGAGTCTGGCGCGCGGGAGAGATTTGAGGAGATTAAGGTGGAGCCGGCGCAGATGCCACATGCGCTACGCAGACGCAGGACAGACTTGGAGAAAAAAGGCTAGGACAAAAGGAGGCGGCTGGATAACTACAGAGGGCGTGCGAGAACGACAACTTCAGCGAGATGCACAGGCTCAGCGCTGGGCATCAGAGGGATGGGGGGAGGACAGGAACAAGAGGTGCTACTTCTCAGCGCGGACATGGTGGACCACGGAGGAATGGCTCAAAGAACTAGGCAAACGCCCCCACGAGCGGGGGCTGGCAGCTGGACCGACGAGGCCGGAGGAGCGCGAGAAGGAGCGCGGCGAGATGATAGCAGAGAAAATGCCGACCCCATTCGATGCGGAGATGAAAGCCGAAGTGGAGAGGGCCAAAGAGACATGCTGCAGTACTGCAGGATGGCGGCGAAGAGGAGGTCTTTCTCCCCGCGGAACTGACATGGGCGCCACTGGAACCCGCGGTCAACCTGGAAGACCATGAGCAGTTGAGCAAGAAGCTGGAGGAGCAGACAGCACGGGCGGCGGAAAAGGCGAGATGACGAGGAGGACGTGGACAAGCACAGCTCACTCTACACGTGCAGCGCGGACAGGTCGATTTTACAGAATGGGTTGGGCATCGGGCGGAGCGCCGGGCGGGACAGACAGAGACGGCGACGGCGAAGCACTGCGGGCGACCGAGAAAAATCGCATCACTTGGGGGCTTTGAGAAAGCTGGGCTAGGATCGTCGGCGCTGCAAAAAAAACGCGAGCACGGGGTGCAGGAACAGGCTTGGGCATCCAGACTAAGCGTCGCCGGTCTCAAGCTACACGCGTGGACTGGCACAGTTTGGAGGGAACAGAGCCGCGCGCGCATTTTGCTCAATGCCATTGATTTTCCACAGAGGCATCCATTACAGAGGTAAAAAAAGAGCCGGAGCACCCATGTTGGGCAAAGGGGGCGGGCTTGGACATATATCGAGGGGGAACGCGATCGCCTGCGTCGAAGCTACGCGATGGAGGGCAAGGCAGGCATGGGCGAGCACCATGGCCAGCAACTGCGACTGCGCAAACGCCTTCGCGAGCGCGAAACGCAATCTCCAGCTGGCATCGGTCTTCGCCGCGTCGAAAGAGGAGGATCAGCCGTTTGCTGTCGAGGCGCTGCGCTGCGCGTCGATGGGCATGGAATGCGCAGAGACTACGCGGGGCGCGCAAATGGGTTTCATGTTGCGCCCAAGGCAGTTCATTGACACACGCGACGTCCACGCGGGGCAGCGGCGCCAGGGAGAGAGGAAGAGAGGGGCGAGATGCAGACGAAACGCGATGC